ATTACACGATGTTATTCCTTCATCGTGGAAGTCAATCGTGAACATATTTTGACAAGTACGTATTTCAATAGAAAAATTCGTACCCGCCTGCGGGATTCGAACACGTTGCATCGCTAGATACGAATGCACCGGACGTTTTATTCTTTAGGCCACAACTCCAAATGAAATAGAATAAATGAAATAACTAACAACTTATCGAATTTTGTACCTATTTGCGCCGGCAATCGCAATTATTCATTGAATCAACATCTTTCCTTTTTTTCAAAGTAATGAATTGTTCCGTCTTAACGGGTGCTATTACTGAATAGAATTGAGACTTCAACCTTATACCTCAAAGAGCATTCATGATTTAATATCTAAGGCAGTGTTGACCGTCAACTGTCCATTTACCTACAATATGTAATCTATTCTATTCTGTTTGTGGTGTAAACAAGAAAAGCAGCCGATTATTTAGTTCGGCAGCAAATCGTGTTTCGTCGGACACAATCAAAAACAGCAGCAGGGTTTAAAACTAGGCCTGTTGTTATTAGGAATTTTTTAACGTAACGACCATACAGCACTGATGGATAATCTGTCACAAATTATTGCGTATTAATTATTCCAAATATTATCTTCATCTCATCTATGTACCTTTGTCATAATCCGAACTAATACGCATGAAAAAAACCTGTTACATTTAAATATTTTTCGTTTGTCCGCGCGGCTTGTTATCCGCATTCTATAATAGCAGGGCTATCGTTCTAAAATTTATTTCATTCAATAAAATAATTTAACGATTATTTTATGAAATTATTTACATATTAATCAAATACCTATTACATTGATGGCTTAGCTCCTAAAATTTCAGTACCGATGTCAGCCTTAATGCAAGGAAACAAATAGATTTGGGACTTTGAAATTTGTAGGAATATTTTATATTATGTAATTTTTTGGGGTTGTAAGCGACGAAAGGAAAAAAACTGTGAGGCCGTAAATGATGTTTATTTTTTTCTCTATTTTTTTTCAGTTTTCCTGCGAAAGACTATTTGCTGTATGACTTTTCAGAGTGACATTTTGTTCTTCGACGACGAACGTGTATGCATGTGCATTTGTATACCGTACAATTAGTACACAATCACGCTCTCCTTCCGACATTAATGTTAACTATATTGTAACTAGCCTGCAACTTCGACCGCGTGGTATTAACCAAAAAAATTTATTTTATAATCATTTTGGAATTTTTCTAAAATAGAAATAGCCTAAGTTACTCCTTAATATATCAGCTACCTGCTAGTGAAAGACTCGTTCGTCAAAATCAGTGCAGCCGCTTAAGAGATTAGCCGGAACCGACACACAGCCAAACAAAAAACGTAAAAAATGTTATTGTATACGTACAATATATACCTACATTGATACGCATGTAGTAAAAATCGGTTATTTTAATATTACAAACAAACCCATAAAATTTTATTTATTTGCATAGATTTTTTATGTAACTTTTGTTTACATCCTCTTGTACTAGATGTAGGACCTATTGTGAGTCCGCACGGGTAGGTACCACCACCCTGTCTATCTTTGCCGTGAAGCAGTAATATGTTTCGGTTTGAAAGGTGGAGCAGCCGTTGTAACTATGCTTGGAACTTGTATCTCAGGGTGGGTGGCGGCATTGCGTTGTGGATGTCTATGGTCTTCAGTAACCACTTAACAGCTGGTGGGCTGTGAGGTCGTCCACCCATCTAAGCAATAAAAAAAACAAAAAAAATAATCAACCGTTAGACGCCCTGCTAACAGTAGATAGGAAAAGGAGGCTTTTATTTTTTCCCTTAATTTCTATCATTTTCTTGTACGTCGTGTGTATGCTGAAGAAAAATCTACTTAATAGCCCATGTGCCTGAAGAGAGCAAGGCACTCCACTCCCAGCAACTGATTTCACTGCTGAAAATGTAGGGAGCAAGGTGCTCCACTCTTGTTTTTACTGCTGAAAATAATGCCACATATTTTCGGTATAAGGCAGATTAACTAGTTTGTTCCCAACCTCCAACCAAATGAACGTCACGTGCGTATCACAATTTCATAAAAATAAATCATAATGGTTCATTCAACAGCCAAACCCATATTGTACGTAATTATGGCGCCGTGAAACAGGTTTCCCCAAAAACTGGACCGTAAATAAACGCTGACGACATAGGTACGTAATAACGTAAATATTCTAATGAATCACGTTCGTGACATTATTTCCCCGTACTCGTATGTGCAAGGGCGGATCCAGCTTTGGCGCCAGGAGGGGGTCACATAGTCGTGGGCAAGTTAAGAACTTATAATTTAATTTTGATAACAATAGATAATAAATAAATCATGATGTTGTTCAATTAGTCCAAGTTAGTTCAAGTCCTGGAACTAGCTCAGGGGGGGGTCATGACCCCCATGACCCCCCCCCTGGATCCGCCGTTGCGTATGTGAGTCTATTTCAATGAGAATTAATCGATTTTCGTAGCTTTCCAACGCGAGAGGTGAGAAAGAAATCCAAAGTTTTACCGTTGCGTCGATGCGCAATTTGTTGCAAGACTCAAGAATACAATCGAGACTCAACAAAACGATATGTCATACTTAAGGAATACATACGAAGTGAACATAAAAAAGAAAACACGAATGTAACAAACTTACTGGTGTTATGACTTCTTGTGAGTCCGCACGGGTAGGTACCACCACCCCGCCTATTTCTGCCGTGAAGCAGTAATGCGTTTCGGTTTGAAGAGCGGGGCAGCCGTTGTAACTATACTGAGACATTAGAACTTATATCTCAAGGTGGGTGGCGCATTTACGTTGTAGATGTCTATGGGCTCCAGTAATCACTTAAAACCAGGTGGGCTGTGAGCTCGTCCACCCACCTAAGCAATAAAAAAATAAAAACTAAATAATGTAAATATTATAATAAATCACATTCGTGACATTCCTTACCTGTTTAAACTTGTACGTGATTGTATTTTAATGGTGACCAGTGGTCCCCAAGTAGTCGAAATTCGACTATAATTAATTGAAATTACAGTTTGAATATTATTGTGGTTCTATTGTCGAAGACTTTATTTGTATAATTACAGATTTCGCCAAGGCTACACTATAGACAAATAATAAGCGCCAAATAATATTAATCTATTCTCAATTAGACCACGGACTTTTACAACAAACAAAAGAGTGTTTATAATTAATGGTATATGTGTGTGTGTGTGTGTCAAATAAATGGTAGTGTGTGTGTGATGTTTTTTTAGATGAAGAATTAAAGAAAAATATTAGCATTCTGCACTTCTTCTCTATATTCTCTATAAATGTGGGATATTTCATTCTCCTCCATCCGCGCCCTTTTTGTAAAGAGTTTGAAATCAAAGTTTTTGCTTCGTGTATTAATAATTAATTTACAGATTATTCAATACAATTTAAATTTTGGTAGATTTCTAACGCTAGTCCAAAAAAACACAACTTATGTTTCGAACACTTTCTTAAATTGCAAGTACAACGACAAAGAGAGTTCCCGTGAAAATTTTATTTCTATTGTGTCGGGTAGCCATCATACAACGCAAGATAATTGACAGATGCCTGAATCTCGCTTACGACATTTTCAAGATAAAGCGCATATATACAAGTTCCGAACAAACAACATTCGGACCCATAGATTATACACTTAATATACTTGAGACCGTCTCGGTCTACCCAGCAATATCACCCGCTCGGTGGAAGATCTTCCCTTTGTCGTATATTCCTACACTATTATACAGTGCAACCTCGATATAACAAATCGGAAAGGGACCAGTAAATATTCGTTATATCAAGTAATTCGGTAAACTGAGGTTTGTTATATTAAGGTTAGATGCATAGATTATACACTTAATATAGTTAGATGGGTCTACCATTTGTTATAACAAGGTAAAAGAGAATATTTTTATTCGCCTCAACATTACGTATGGACTGATCTTATTATACCGAACAACTTCTACTAATAAATGATAACACACTTTTATCAAATTACTGTAAGTATGTATTTTCTATTTAAAATCAATTAGGTTGGTAACAATTTTCCTCAAACCTGTCGAGACTGATTCACATACCTACTATGGGATTTAGGATTATGATCCTAAATTGATCCTATGATTGATGGGAAATTTATATAAAGGCTTTGGGTTGCAAAATTCCTTAATTAATTAGAGGTATTTACGCTTTTTTTTAATAGTAAAAATTCGTTATAAAGAGGTTGTTCGCAAAAAATCTTTGCAATGTAAAGGCATATTTTATTTTGAATCTTATGGATATGAATAATAATATGAATAAGGGGATAACGAAGTATTTGTTAAATCGAGAACGTCGTTATATTATGATGCCAAAAAAAAAACTATAAGGTGTTTTTCATATTGAGATATGAAATAGTATGATCAGATACCGCATTTTCCTGTAAAGTAATGACATTGCACTTTCACGACACAAGAACTGTTGACCGATCAACGCGGTTTGTGCGAAAACATTTTCTCGTTTAACCACTATCTATACTTAATATTATAAAGAGGAAAGATTTGTTTGTTTGTTTGTATTGAATAGGCTCCGAAACTATTGAACCAATTTGAAAAATTCTTTCACTGTTTGGAAGCTACAGTATTCCCGAGTGACACAGGCTAATAGAATCTTTTTTGAAAAAAAAATAGGGATCCTTACTAAAACTCCAATAATGCAGCCCAAGGTGTAAAAAAATTACCTAAAATATTCTTTACATCGCGTGCGCTGCGAAAACTATTGATGATGGAATAGAATAATGTAGTACGACTTTGTACAAATTTTATTATTTACAAAAAGTGTCGCGACAGCATATGTCTAACTATTATAGTTATGCCGCAATAAGTGTTCCTTTATTTAAAAAAATAAAACAACGTCGTTGAAATTTTTGTTAAAGACACGAGCAGAGCCGGAACGTGCCGCTAGTATATTATAAACCAATACATCTTAAAAGTCGGAGCTAGTCATTAGGCGCGCGGGGCCATGATAGCACGCCGGATAGTTTAAATAAAAAATGAAAAAGTGATTTCGAAAATGAAAAAAATCAAACGTTCGTGTTTTGTGTTTTTTATTAAAGTTTTTATGTTAGTTAATGGGCAATATGTACAGTCGCCGTGTCCCGGTATATTTGACTATCAAAGTGACGGTTCTAATATTTATGGAGTGATACGGTTAAAGTCGACCGGACCTGTGTCTTCGGTTAGCCTGAGGATAAATTTTACAGTAGCAACAAAACTTTTTTCTGTGAGTGTACCGATATTTTTTTAAAATTCTAAATCACAGTATCGTTTGATAATGTCAAAATCTTTAAGGATTTTTAATAAAATAATCGATTTGATCAATTTAGTTTTTGTGATTACATATTTTTCCTCGACAAATATTGAGTGATACATTACAATATACCAACACAATGACCACAAAATTGTTATATCATATAGAGTCTATTATTTTAATTTGCGGCTCTATCAAAAGCAACAATCATTTGATATAAAATAGCTTTTACTTTATCAAAATTCATTTTAATTTATTAGTATTACAACCATTTTTCAATATTTCTCTTGTTTCAATATGCCAATAACGAAGTCCAACTTGGAAGAGCCAACGGTTTCCATAGCTGTCTTTGGCCAATCTTATCCCTTTGTCTTTGTCTATCTTATCCCTTGTCCCTTTTATTATTTTCCCCTTATAATGTGATCTTCAACAATTTATTTTGCCATCGGTACTATTCTATGGATAAAGAAAGATACATATATTTAAAAAAAATCAAAATGCATTTCGTACAAGCTTTGTAGCTAACCATTTTTTAACGAAACCTACGTACATAATTAACGATAGACGATCTCCGTACGTGAACGTAAAAACAGTAGTATGTATGTAATTGCTTAAAAACAACTTTGCATGTAAAAACTTGTTTGGTTTCAACATTTTTTTTTACAATTTTATAAGTCCGATAATGGTATTACAAAATTTTCGCAAATTTTATTACGAAAATGCTTACGTAAATTCTCATTTCAAAGCAACAGGAAAGAGAAATTCAGGTCCTCGTTCGTTTAAGATTCGGTACACATGTACATACTTACGATGCTTTTTCGAAGTATTTCCTTCTGTTATTTTCATATATTAGGCACATACCTACCAATACGCGTAAGTATGTGCCTAATAATTATTGCGATGCTTTTTCGAAGTATTTCCTTCTGTTATTTTCATATATTAGGCACATACCTACCTATACGCGTAATTAAAAAACTGTGTATACTTGTAAAAACTGTGATGTACCTAACTGAAATTTTTTTGGAAGTAATACGCAAAAACTGTAAAATATTCGTATATTCAGAATATAGGGTGCACGCGAATGACAAAGAAAGTGTGTATGTGTGTGTGTGTGTGTGTGTGTGTGTTTGTTTTTTTATTGCCTTTGTAGGCCGACGAGCATACGGCCCACCTGATGGTGTGTGGTTACCGTCACCCATGGGCTTCAGCAATGCTAGGGGCAGAGCCAAGCCGCTGCCTACCATAACAACTTTACGGTAGGCAATTTACCGTAATTTTTGACAATCCTACAATATAATGTTACGTGTAGGTATTGGGCAGCATTCAATGTAACTCGAAGACACATGATTTGACGAACGAGGTCATCGTGCTCATGCGGTATCAGCACAGCAATAAATCAAAATAGATTTATTAAAATTAGGTAAATTATTAAATAGATGAGTGAATGATTATTAAATGATTTATTAAATAGATATATGTATTGAGAACTACCATTCCTTTGCCGATTTCGGGAACGCCTTTCGAACGATTAAATAGATACAAATATTATATTTAATACCATAATAAGCAGTTTGAAATAATAAACGATGTCGCAAGCAACCTTTATAATTATTTGAGATTTAAATCTTAAATTAACTCCCCGAAATTACCCATGTATGTATATCTATACATATAAATAAAATTGGAGTGTCTGTTTGTAATATTGAAATAACCGCTTTTTACTACATGCGTATGATATATACGATACATACACCAAAATAATTTTTTTTACAATTCTTGTCTGTCTGTTTGTTCCGGCTAATCTCTGGAACGGCTGGAACGATTTTGACGAGACTTTCACTGATAGGTCGCTGATGTAATAAGGAGTAACTTAGGCTACTTTTTTTAGACTAGCTTCGCCCCGCGGCGTCCCTCGCGGTACGACAATAACCGCGGGTAACGTCGCGAGACTCAGCTATTAATAATAAAATTTAATGTTTCCAAAGCGAAGCGAGGGCGGGTCGCTAATATATAATATTAATCGTATTTATTGTCAAGAAATTTATTCGGCATATTTAACGTTAAAGGGATGACAAATTCGACGATGACAAAATTAAATTTAACAGGAAAGACCCGTTCTCCAAATTCCTTTTCCAAACTGAAATGATGCTTGTGTAGGTACTTTCTGAGTCAATTGAATCTACATTGACAATGTGAATTAAGATTCGTTTTATTGAAAGATTTGTGTATAGAAGGTAATTTTGAAGCAGTTTTACAAATTAATTATAGGCATATTTCTAATAAGATTACTGGTGGTAGGACCTCTTGGGAGTCCGCGCGGGTAGGTACCACCACCCTGCTTATTTCTGCCGTGAAGCAGTAATGCGTTTGGTTTGAAGGATGGGGCAGCCGTTGTAACTATACCTGAGACCTTAAAACTTATGTCTCAAGTTGGGTGGCGCATTTACGTTGTAGATGTCTATGGGCTCCAGTAACTACTTAGCACCAGGTGGGCCGTGAGCTCCTCCACCCATCTAAGCGATAAAAAAAAAAGATAGACAAACACATTTATGAATAAACTAGCGACCCGCCCTCGCTCCGCTTCGAAAACATTAAAACACACATGAAACCAAAAAAAATAAATTCAAAAAAATTAAAAAAAAGTAGCCTATGTTCATCAGGGACAATGTCGGCTTCTAATGGAAAAAAATTTTTTCAAATCGGTCCAGTAGTTTCGGAGCCTATTCGAAACAAACAAACAAACAAATCTTTCCTCTTTATAATATTATAATAATAATAATAATTTATGAATAAATACCAGTATTTGAAGGGGGTTATTCTCGCGTGTTTTAATCGTCATCCTTGACTATACCAAAACTGTTAAGTATTTGAAACGTCCAAAATACAAAATGCGAGATCAAACGGTAAAAACGGTTTTAATTATAATATAATTTGTTATATTGGCATGTAAAATCAGGTATTCGTTATAAATTGTTAGACTCAATCTAACATTTTTACCTCTATAAAGTGGTTTGAAAAATACCCCTATTTACTTACATAATTTTCTTGTCGGTTGGTAAATGGTAAAAGGTCTCCGTACTAAATTGTCTATGCAGACAGCTATGCAAGCAACAAACGCAGGGACTTCCCAACAGTTAAGGTCCGGTTTGTGCAATTTTATTTTTTTGCGTCTAGTTAATTTCTTTGACGGATAGCATGTTATAGGTTACACATTCGTTAAATTCCATTAATAGGACTCGATACAGCTTGTATGAATTGCCGTTGTGCTATAGAAGAATAATAGTTTTTAGCACCCCACAAATATAGGGGCACTTGTCTCGACATGACTTGACTTCCCAAAGTTGGTCCGGAATAGTCGATACCATGTCCTTTGTTTCTTGAATAAACACTATTGATATTAGTTCAAATAATTCTTGCTTCTTATTCGCCTGACTATTTAGAAAATAAAGCATTTGTGTTCATTTTTATTCATTTATTCTTATTTTGCTTAAAATGCTTCTTATCCTGGTGGTTTAGAAAATATCACTCTTAGCGATAATACCTATTTACTGACGTACTTTCTGTACCTAATGTTTTGTATTTGCTTTTTTTTTTTTTATCGGTGTACTCTACACTGTATGACCAAAGCAAAGGAGTTAGAAATATTAAGCCCGAAAATCGTGTCTGCGACTCGAGAATAATTGTAAATAGAGATGCTTTAACAAAAAACAAACTTCAAATTGAAAAAAAAAGATATTCCAAACCAAATTAATATACACTAAAAACAATAACCATCAAAATCGGTTGGCGTGATATTGAGTTATTGAGTTATTCATCTATTTGTCGCGCACGTACTTAATGCAAATTTAAGATTTATATGGTTTTCTCATGACCTCCATTATCAGAACTGGACTAAATTAAAATGGGACAAACACGGGAAGCGTCAGCTTTCTAAATAAAAAACTAATCATCAAAATCGATTCACCCAGTCAAAAGTTGAGGTAACAAACATAGGAAAAAAACTACAGTCGAATTGAGAACCTCCTCTTTTATTGAAGTCGGTTAAAAATCATAATGTCCGTTTCGTATTTACATTCAACAAACTACGACGTTCTTACGTTGCTCTATTAAAACATTCGAAACACGTTATTATGTAGCACGTGAATTGGGAAACGATTCAACCTACTAAATCGTAGATTTTTATCACGTTTTTTTTTATTTTACAAAGATAATTTTCCTTCTTAGACTTTAAAAAAAAAAAAGTGTATTAATAAAATTAATTCGAACACATTCCAAGCGTTCCATCCATTGTACGTAGAGTCTTCAATGCGAACAAGTTTTTGTTTTTTACTTTAATACCGCCTTCGCGATACTCGGAAACGAAAATTAAATTTATGCTTAAAATAAACCCGAATTTTCGTTATTGTAAGTTATTGGAAATGAGGTTTGTAACTGTTAATGTTTTTGTTTACTTTTTTTCTTTATCGTCCTCTATGTCGTAGGCCTAATTATTTAAATACATATATTTATATTTATAACTATGTAATGCGTACAAAATTTTATAATAACACAACGTACCTATTTTGAAGTGATATATTTAAAAACAATAGGTATTTATTTTAAATTGCTTTTAAAGCCATTGTTCACCGAATGACCTCATAAGACTTCATAAAAATAAATAAAATCGTGTAATAAAATAGAGACAGGAAAAAATATGAACTTGTGAAAAGAGTTTAGAGGCTGCGGTTGGTCGCTCTGTCAGTGTCTAACTTGGAAGGATATTTAGAATAATGGTGATTCCTTGATTCAAACCTCATTTTGGTCTATTTTTATTAATAAAAATGTTTAATAAATAATGATTATTATAATTTTGATAACTTTAACCTCGCGTTTCGTATGCATCACCCGACAAGTTTTTAAGAGTCGTGAAATGTAGGTATCCGGCAAAGATTTTCATTTTTTTACCGCCTAAAATCTCATTAAGGGTACAACTAACACTTAAAAAATGTTAATAAATTAGTCATCTACAAATTTTCGACCGTGATCGTTTTAGTGTTGCCATGTTAAGAAACAGTAGCACTCGGAGCCTGCCGATTTATATTTATTAGAATGTTCGAAACTACTAATTAAATTAGAATGTAATAAAAAAAGTGATAAAAAAAACTTGAAACGACTTGTGAGCTCTTTACCATACCATGATGATATGTAGCAACCTATTAGTACACCAGAAATCCTTTGCGTATAGTAAAAATACCAACATAACAACAACAACTTCAACTTCAATAAGATTCATCAACTGGACTAATTGTCTATTCATAACCAACTAATATCCCAACTACAAGTTATTGGCATATATAGTTCGATTAATGTACTGTCCTTCGCATCCAGCATCCAATTCCTACTAACTTATTCATTCAGAACATCCCTCCAGTGATCTTTTTTTTTTAGGGTATTTTATGACCCGGTAACTAAGACCTTTGGGTCATGTCTTAATTTAATTTCTCCAATGATCAGGAGGGTAAGGAAAGAATAGAGACGCTGGATTAGATAGATCCTTACACTAGTGTTGAATATTTCGGACACGATAAGTTAAATGATTGGTGCTTCAAGTACAAGAAATTCAAGCTTTGTCATTTTTACAGAATTACGTAGGACGAATAGAGCCCATCGGGGAAAATAGTGCACTACAGAACTTTAACAATGGCGACCCGCTGGTGTATAGGGTGCATTTTCCGGTTACATCCCCATTGCCGAGACTAACGGAACTCGTTGTTAACGGAAATGTACTCTGCTATGGACAAGGAGGTAAGTTTTGTAAAAACCGTCCTTCTTTGTAGCTTCTCAATATTTTCCGCTAAGGGGGGCGCGAGAAGAATTCGAAGAAGGAAGTAGTATTTATGCGATCGAGAAGATAAAAAATATGCACAAAACACACTGGCCTAAAAGATAAACGAATGACTTTTTTGGTACAACAATGTTTAATGCATTACATGGCTTAATAATTAGATTGACTCGGTGATGGGGTCGATTCCCACATCGGGCTAACATTGTGTGATGAACAGTTTTGTTTGTTTTTTGTCTGGGTGTTTATGTATATATTTAGATATATTATTATATGACTGTTTATCAGCGCCTAGTGCACATTATACAAAAAATCCTAAATTGGGGCCGGATCACCGATGATTAACTTGATTTGTTCCCAGTTATTATATTATTATTATTAATAAAACGCTAGTGCGTTCCAGTTCGAAGATTGAGATAGCCGCTATACCGTACAATTGACATTAAAATTTAGACATCACGTGTCATGTTGGGTGGCGGCATATAGGTTCAGATAAACGCTCCACCCGTATACGCTAGAAAAACATAAGAACCACAATTAATTGACACTCGTGTACCGGATAATAATAAGTACATACATAGATTGACGCCGTCAAAGAAGTCGTCCCTAATTTGGCTTCCCGAGCGTTTAAGCGTGCCAATGTGAGCAAAAGACGGAGTGCATTGACCCAATGTGTTGACGATTCTTAGTCATGAGGAAGTAACAGGAAAGGAGGCGATTCGGAATTAAAATAACATTTCCCGAGAGGTTTTTTTTTTTTATTTTTTTTTATTGCTTAGATGGATGGACGAGCTCACAGCCCACCTGGTGTTAAGTGGTTACTGGAGCCCATAGACATCTACAACGTAAATGCGCCACCCACCTCGAGATATAAGTTCTAAGATCTCAGGTATAGTTACAACGGCTACCGCACCCTTCGAACCGAAACGCATTACTGCTTCACGGCGGAAATAGGCGGGGTGNCTGGTGTTAAGTGGTTACTGGAGCCCATAGACATCTACAACGTAAATGCGCCACCCACCTCGAGATATAAGTTCTAAGATCTCAGGTATAGTTACAACGGCTACCGCACCCTTCGAACCGAAACGCATTACTGCTTCACGGCGGAAATAGGCGGGGTGGTGGTACCTACCCGTGCGGACTCCCAAGAGGTCCTACCACCAGTGAAGAGAGGCATTATCCTGAGAGGTATTAACTAAATAATTCGTGAGGTATCTCCATAGTTTATTTTTTATTTTTTTTTATTGCCATTGTAGGCAGACGAGCATACGGCCCACCTGCTGGTGAGTGGTTACCGTTGCCCATGGACTTCAGCAATGCCAGGGGCAAAGCTAAGCTGCTGTCTACCGTTTTGTAGTGATGTAGTAAAATTGAGAGATAATTCGAATACTTAACGCTTTTAGATAACGTAATATGTTATTGTTACTGTAGTATCAAATTTCGATCGATTCGCTTTCAAGTGTAGAAGCGCACAAAATAAGCTGCGTAACTAGGGTATTCAGTATCAAAATAAAATTTACCCTACTTCTCCTTTAAAAATCTCCTACTTTAAAAATTATGTTTTTTTTAATGGGATTTTATGACCTGGTAATTAAATATGTCTTATTTTAATTTATATTCTTATTTTTATGAAATATGATTTTATAGAGTGAAATGAAATGAAGATAATTAATTTGAGACATTAATTACACACATTACACATTTTAACCTGAAGAAACACTAAATAGACAAAATAAAACAAATCACACAAATTCACTCCTCGCGTTCCCGCCAAAAAGTCCAAAAATTTTGTGTTAAAGTCTATGTTTTACACAGATTAGCATTAAACAAAACGTTGCAGAGACTCCAAGGCCGAATGTTTACATCACAACGATCACCCTCAGCCACGTGCTGTACATAAAATCTACGTCATCGAATATTTACAACCAATTGAACATCCAGCCAGCTCAAGATCCCGCCCTACAACAAGTAGGGAACTACGGCAATAATGGTCAATTGTTCACTTTCAATGACATCGATAATAAAGTTACTTGGAGTACGAGTAAGTATTTAATACAACACATAATGAAAATATATAAAAAGCGTTGCTTTTGTCGGAGATATGTAGTCTCAAATGATATTTCAATCTATACAAGTAATAAACAAGTTTCTTAACGTACATAATAAATCTTATTTGCTTCAAACCTCTTTGCGAGGCAAAAAAAGATGCAATTTGCTTACTAGTAGAGCGTCTTGTGAGCCGACATGTATTATCTATGCCCGTACGGGTAGGTACTTAACACCATCCTGCCTATTTCTGCCGTGAAACAGTAAAACGAAATAGTTCAATTTGAATGGGGGAGGGGTGGGGGTGGTTGTTGTACTGTAAAACTGAGACTTGAACTCATGTCTCATATCATTTATGACTCATGTCTCAAGGTAGGTAGATGGCGGCATTTAGGTCGTTGATGTTTAGGTGCTCCGGTAACCACTTAACACCAGGTGGACCGTGTACTCGTCCACCCACATAAGCAGTAAAATAAATCTAATTTCCGACTTCATATCATGTAGGGCGTACATAGCAGAAGCTAGTTAGTGTCTTATGATATGAATCTCGAAATCATAAGACATTAATTTCTACCCGCGGCTGCGCCTGTTTTAAAAATAACTTTCCGAAGATTGAATCCGTTTGATGGATTACGCTTAATTGCTTTGATCGCTCAACTGCTCAAGCCATTGCTTTCTTTGGGTGTGAAAGAAGGACGAAATCAAGAATTTAGTTAAGTTAATAAAACACGGTTTCCCGTGGAAATGATGTGTTTTTTCGAGATAAAAGGTTTATGTCATTCTCCTGACCTAATACTATAATTAAAAAAAAAACCTCAATTTCTTGCTTAGTTTTGAGTGCTTAGTCTGAAAGAAGGACAAACACACACACACTCCGGACAGCCGTTACTTGATTTATGATTAAGTATTAGTTGGTCTTACTAACTATACTAACAATTTCTATTTTGGTGGAAAACGATTATAAAAATATTTGATTGCAGACAATAACAAAGTACACGATTCCGTAAATAATATACACCAGGAATACATGGAAAAGCCACCCGTGGAACAACCCAACGCCCAACCCGTAAATGACTACTACACGTATTACCACAGCGAGCCTACTTCGCAAGTAACGAGACCCCAAACACAAGTGTCTTTCTCGAGCCCTTCCAAGCCGGCTATCCAGCAATCGAACGTTCCACAGCAACAGCAGACGCAGCCACAAATTATTTTCCAACCCCAAACTCCGCCACAACCACAACCTCTACCACAGCCGCAACCTCTACCACAACCGCAACCACAACCACAGCCGCAACCACAACCACAGCCGCAACCAGCCCCAGTACCGATACAGGCGCAACCGGATCCACAAATAATACCGTAAGACTTTTCTTTATTAGATTACGCTGACAATCGATCAATCCGCGCTAACATAAATGTCTGTCATCTCATCAGTTCGGTTGACTGGTAGAGAATTGCCTTAGGCATTACGTCCGCCAATGAAGTGTAATAAATAAATGAATGAACAATGTCTAAACATTATTCACATCCAGGTGTGATCATTCGAGAAGATTTCCCGTTATATTGTCTTCTTCGACCGAACCTCACATATAAGACCACGTCAATGCCACGAGCTACCTTAAGAAACTAGATCAAAGATCCAATTGTACCTATTATGTTATTGAAATACGCAGGGCTATCATCTAAATTAATAAGAATTGAAAACGGGAGCTTAAATTAATTATAGGTATGTACAGGCGCAAAATAGGTACGTCATTTTCCATAAATTGGCGTTAAATTGTTGGATTACAGAAATCTTATCTTATATATTATTATTATCTATATATATATAAAAATGAAATCGTTGAACATAATTTTCATAAGCTTCTACGCGTCCGATTCACGTAAAAAATTATACACGCATCAAAGGAAGATGGATGACAATACATTTTTTTTATTACGTTGAAATAAAATCGTGACCAGAATTACCTTAAACAAATATTGTGTTGTGCTTTTCAGTTCGGGTTACTATTAAAGAGCATTTTTATGAATTTCAAACTTCAGTTATATTAAATAATTAGAAAATCCTTCCAATAAAATTAAGAAAAAACCCAAAATAACGTCAGTTTTTATAATTTTCTTATTTCGAAACAGAGCTCGCGATTTTTTAAGTACCTATTATCCGCAGTAAGTTAATTCAATAATCTTGATGTTAGGAATTTAATTAATCGTTTTGTAAGCGGATCTTATAACAAAAATATTGAACATATTATAACATAATTAACATTAACACGTATTATGTAGGAAATAAATCAGTGAATTAAAGATTAATTTAATTACATAAATATTGAATTAAGTAGTTGTTTACAAAAGGGTTACCACTTGCAGTATTTTAATAAAATTTGTAAAAGGGATGTCATGTCCCATTTGCTTATTAACTTTGTTACTTATCTTACTTATCTAAGACTTATTGAAATGACAACAACAAATACGAAAATAATATGTTCCCTATGGCATATGCTAAGTGAAGTTAAATTTAAATTTAAAATTTAACTAAGTTTTATGACCAAGTTTATCGTACTCGAGAATATCAACCGTATCCCGCTACACAACATTCGAATCAATAATAGTTGAAAACTTACTATTTAAAATCAGGAATGTATTAATCTTACAGGGTCTTGGTCATAATGTATTTATTCACTACTCAGCTGCATTGCCGCTTGCATCACTGTTGGTATACGTCATTCCCGATCCTGCTTTCCATTAGTCGACGTCGCCCAAAACGCGTCATCTCGGATCCTCCCGATCCACTAACGGTGCTTTTAGGTACCTCAAGTACCGGTCATCGTGCTCGTCGAACTCGTCGCTGGCAACGAAGGGCTCGGCGAGTAAATTAACCCACAGACACAGCCCACTGAATTTCTCGCCGGACCTTCTCAGTGGGTCTCGTTTCCGATCCGGAGGTGGATTCTGCGAAGCACGGCTTTTGCTAGGGTTCGTGCTAGCAACGTCGTCGGGTTTGAGCCCCGTGAGCTCACCTACTAGTTAAGGTTACGCTGAAATAGCCTCCCAAGGCTATAGATTAGGCAGGAAAAAAATAATTTGGTATATATAATATATATAGGCTTCGTTTAGATTATGTTATTGGAGTCAGTTGAGCTTTGAATCTTCAACAACATTTTGACTCAATGTTTTAATTTTACAAGACCCTAAACTTAAATACATTTTTTGCTTATACACATATGAGTTGCAACGGTTCGCACTTCAGATAAACATCATTTTGATATATTAAATAAATAATAATGATTCGGTTTCATAACGTATCTTTCTGCGTTTCTAAGCTAGTTTTTTTAAAGTTTATCCTTAGTTAATCGACCTTCAGCCTCCGGTGTCTAAATAAAGATCTCTTTCAAATTATGCAATTAAGATATTGTTTAAATCTATTGATTCGCGTTTCGATTAAACTTTTTAGGATTTGTTGTGAGAATGTCATAAGTTGGTCAGTAGGTTGGTTGGTTATTTTATTACGCCATATTATAAGTCTTTCGAATTTTATGGAAAACATAATTACGGCAGTAACCTTCAAACTGCGTTTTGTTCAACCAATATGTTGATTGCGAAATAAATGAAAAATGCATAGCTCATCTATTTGTTGTCACCGTTTTATATCATACTAGCTGTACCCGTCCGATTGGGCATTTAAAATTAACATTATTATTTCTCTACCCCACAATGATTCTCATCTTAACGCCCCCGCAACTGGTGTAGGGAGTCCAACACTCATATAAATATTAGCCTATCCATTAAGTACATGTATTACCTACGTGAATACCAAGTTTCAAGTAAATCGGATGCACGGTTCAGTAGTTATAACGGAACATCCGTAAAAACCACTGTAGATTTATATATCTATATATAATAATACGTGAAGCAAAAACTTTGTATCCCTTTTAACGAAAATTGAGCGGACGGAGGAGTATGAAATTTTCCACACTTATAGAGAATATAGAGAAGTGCACAATGCTAATATTTTTTTTTAAATAATGCATAAAAGATTCATTAAATCAATAAAGAAAACATTACACACACTACCATATATTTGACACACACACGAATGCATGCTATTTGTTGATTGTCAAACTTTTCTTGGCAGTCTGTCAGTTATCTCTGATTAATATTAGGTATATTATATTTGTCTAAAGTGTAGTCTTGACGATATCTGTGATTAAAGAACTTCAGTGTTAAAGAAGTGTAATAGTCCTTGACAATAGAATCATAATAGTGTACAAACTTATAATTTCCATTAGTTATAGTCGAATTTCGGCTACCAGGGGACCACTAGTTAGTATAGATTAACTTGCTACTTTAAGTGAACAATTATTGTTTTTTAGGTCCACACCTTCACGGTTGCCCGTTGTCAACTCAGGCTCCACGGCAGTCGAATGCGGTGTAATAGCAGGTGGAAACGAAAGAGTACCATTGATTTACAACGGCCAGTCCTACGAGAGAGGTGACTGGCCGTGGCTCGTGGCCGTCTACAGAAGGAAAGAAGGAAGTTTAACTTTTATCTGTGCTGGGACTTTGGTATCTGATCGTCACGTCGTCACGGGTATGCTAAACATAAATATGATATTGGGAATAATGGTTTTAATTTTTTTTTCAACGTCGTATCGCAACAGAACCGCAACGTAGCATCCGACTCTAGAATGAACTTCCTTCAAGATTGTTTCCTGGATGCTATAAATTGTACGACTTCGAATGAAATTTCAAATAAATCTTCAGCGACAGGCACTTCGCTGTATTCCTGGCATTGCGTACGTTATTCTGCCTTCAAACGCAAAAAAAAAAACCAAATTGACCGAACTAGTGAGGAGAAAATTAAGTAGTTTCTAAGATTCAAATGAAGAAATATTTCCTGTCACTTTAATTGTGTATTTAAGTTATTGTTTTATATATATTTATATGTATTTTTCATTTTATATTAGATATATTACGCATTTATTTGTGTCATAATGGTTGTGTATTTTTTTTAAACTTAGGTTAACAGTCATGCTTTAATACCTTTTATATTGTACACTTTTCCCCTCTTATACTTCGTATTTCTCTCTGCTAATGGTTTGCTGGAAGAAAACTCATGAATGAGTTAAACTCGCCCTTGTACCTACATAGTATTTAGACATTCTTTTAAATCTGTGCTTATTGTATTTTCTTTTTTGTGTACAATAAGTATAAATAAATAAATAGAAAGTCAGAAGAAAGAAAGATAGAAAGAAATAGAGTCGCGGCAAAGCGTTGCCGAGAATACGAGCTGATAGTTCTCTGGATGACAAAATTCATTTTTAAACGTTAAAGAGATATTTATTGACAATTAAAACAAGTTTATGATGTGAATCAATAATTTTCAGCTGCCCATTGCATGCATCAGAAGAACAAAATATCGACGCTCAAGGATATTGTTGTAAAAGTGGGCGTTTACAATTTGGAAGATTGGGGAGATGACGTCAGCGTCACGAGAACGTTGGTGGCTGCGGAAATACATAAAAGTTACAATGCATCTACACTTGAAAGTAAGAATTCGAATTGTAATAACGTAATTTAAAAAGTATTTTATATATAGAGGGGCTTGAATTTTTTATTTTATAAGTCAAGTCGGTTCTAAATTTTGATTAGGTATTTAATATTCGTTTCAATTGAGCCGAAAAGCTTGCTTGTCTTTAAACCCTGACGTGGTGTATATGCCTATACTAATCCTGAAAGATTGTCTTTCTCACGAGCGTTAGCGAATAATGTAAGAACTGTAACATCCAGTACGCTCAGACTATCTTAGTTGACATATCTTCTAGCCTTATCTAGAAGTCACTGATCATTAATTTAAACATGAAAACTAATGATGAGGCTAATCTAAAAATAGCAAAATATATTTTAGTCTTCTTATTTCCGACTTCCATATAAATGTATATGGCCAAATGACAAGTGGTCATCATCGCTCATGGACATCAGCATTGCCAGAAGCGCGGCCTACTGCTAACTGATTTCTACTAGTTGTGTGCACGAGTGCGTACCTCCTATTTCTGTGGCAAAGTACTCATCATAGATAAAAGATACACCAATAATTTACTCATTTTTTTTCCAGTTTGAATGTGACAGCTGTCATATTATAGACAGCTGTATTCAACAAACTAACATTCAACAACATTCAACAAACTAAGGCCGTTTTCCAATTACAGAGCATAATGCGACTCAGTGACGCACAATGCCGAATTATGCTGAAGCTTAGTTGAGCATTGTGCCGCATAATGCGCTCTTGTGCTGTAATTGGAAAACGGCCTTAGTTTGTTGAATGTATACAGCTGTCTATAATATGACAGCTGTCACATTCAAACTGGAAAAAAATGAGTAAAATATTGGTGTATCTTTTATCTATGATGAGTACTTTGTAATATAGTAGTAGTAGTAATTGGAAAACTTCCATTAAGTAATGGTTAATTACAGAGCATAATGCGACTCAGTGACGCACAATGCCGAATTATGCTGAAGCTTAGTTGAGCATTGTGCCGCATAATGCGCTCTTGTGCTGTAATTGGAAAACGGCCAAAATTCGCCAATTATTACCAAGAACAAGACCTGGCTGTGTAGACTAAAGTCCTTTGCCTTTCCATTAGGGATAAACTAATATCATCATCATTCAACAAACAATTGAAACTTCGAACCTAATTCACGGATAGCGGCATCATAAAGCCTGCTATAATAAACAAGTAAATTTAATACCTACCACACTGTTATGAGAATATTTTTTCTGTATTGTTTTTCAGATGACGTACTAGTCGTTACCTTTGACAGGAAAGTGGAGTTCAGTACATACATCAGACCGGCTTGTCTGTGGAACGGCAATGCTGATTTAAGTCGTATAGTGGGTGCTTCCGGTGTGGTGAGTATCTTTTATTTTAGCTCTATTAGCTGTGGGTGGGATTTTTTTTTATTTATGACTTTGGATTGGTGTGGCAAGAGAAGATCGTCGCTGCGGCCAGAAAATTCTCGATTGGCCATTGCGCACCGGAAAACACAGCGTGGGTAGACCTCACACGAGGTGAAACTACAACTTGATAAAGGTCCCGGGAATCTGCGCAAGACTGGTAATTGTGACGAAACCTAAGTTTAAGTCCAGCAGCGGAGATCTGTAGGTTGATGATGATGATGATGATGACCGTTCTTACAGAAAAACTCGGACAACGTGACCCTTATGGTATGGTCAGCGTCGTGGTTATGTTATAATATTCTGCACTTTGCGGTAGGCAGTGGCTTGACTCTGCCCCTGGCATTGCTGAAATCCATGGGCGACGGTAACCACTCACCATCAGGTGGGCCGTATGCTCATCTGCCTACAAGGGCAATACAAAAAAAAACATAAAATGTTTGAACTAAAGCTACATGTACAGTTGCGTGGTTAACGGTAGTGACTCATAAGTGAATGCCCCGAATCTGAGCTGCCGAATTAAAAATATATACAAGTACTACTTAATAGTTAAAAAACAAAGAAACACCCTTAAATAGTCAGCCCAACTAACTATTAATTTCATATTTTGGTTTCTGTTAATACTGATCAGGACATTAGAGCGAAGGTATAAAGTTATTGTGTTGTCGTCAGTACTTGATGCGTGTGGATTACTGTGGATGTTTTCAAATTAATCGAACGTCTTTTAGTCAATTGTAATGGATTTTAAGGATTCCGTTACCATACCTACAAGCATATATATAAAACGAACACATATCAAGCTAATAAAAGAGTATTAAAAAACGACCAGACCAACTTTGATCATTCATTACAAAAACATTTTCTTAAATTGTTTGTTGAAGGTGAATAAGCTTAAATGGAATTTGGGTCGGTCACACAAAATTATAAATTTGTAAAGCTTGTTTGCGTTTCTTTAAATTTTTCTTTATGAGAAAACAAAATTTGAGACACGTACTTTCTTTGTGACTTCACCAAAGTGAGTGATATAGGGATGTGTGTACCTAAATTATTGCTTAGAGCACCGGCCTAGATATGCAAAACTGTTATAATATCATGCTATTAATTTATATTTAATCCCGCGATTTTTTTATTGTAATATTTGAAGCTAATCACATCACAAAAATATTGCAATGTAAATACGGATAAAACCGCTTTTTATCTGCCCCAGAAAAATCATTTTTTTAACATAACAGATGTGACGAGAGCTTCATATTACGTGAATGTATGTAGGTACTACTATTTTATGTTTTGGAATGAAGTTCCTTATGGGACGATGCGGAGGGGTACCCTAACCGGGAAAAAACGTCCGTAACATAAGATTTTTATTAGTAATGCACACAGTGTACGTCTTAACTTTGTAATAACGTACAAAAAATAACATATTTTTTTATCGTTCATTAACCACGATCTCAGAGCGTTCGTTTGCGCAATACACTAACTCTTATGCAAACAACCGTGAATGAAGTGTACCACAATAAGTTCGCACGTTACCGAATGACCGTGGGTTGTTGCGAAACCTCCAGTTTTATTTTCTTTATACCTCGAATAGAACTTAAAATTAATATCTTTATAATAAGGAACTTCGTTCCTATCCGGTGTCCCACGACATCACACATCTTTTTTTTAAGCTGTCTTTTGGCATTCAACAGTAGTTTCGAGAAAAACAATTACCTACCACTAAAATGCTAGTAATATGTATGTAAAGTTTATTTGCACATCCCACGCTTAGGTCGCCGGTTGGGGCAGCAGTGAACTAGGACCGAGCGGTCAAGGGGAGCCGCGAATGGTTCGGATACCAATAGTCAGCACAGCAGCATGCAGAGCGAGTAAACCGGAGTTCCACAAGCTTACCTCTTCTAATACTCTGTGCGCAGGTAAGATTTTTGTTGTTGTTAGATGGGTGGACAATCTAAACGGCCCCTCCCACCTTGAGACTTGCGTGCCAAGACTCATGTTTATTAGTGTGCTTAGTGCAAGTATTTTAACGTTCTCGATAGCGTAAAAGTTAGCTCATATTTATATGGAATGGGATCGTTTGCGTACGTTTGCCGCTAGGGGCGCTGTTCCGATTGCATACAAAAATGGCTTAACGTTTACGCTATCGAGAACGTTAAGAAACTCGCACTAAGCATACTGTACAAGGGCTGCTCCATCCATCAAATCGAACCTCATTACAGCTTAATGACAAAAACGGACAGGGTGACTGTACCTATCTACCCGTGCGGACTCACAAGACGCCCTACCATCAGTGATTACGCAAATTATAATTTTTGCGAGTTAGATTTTTATTGCACGATGCGATTCCTTCATCGTAGAAGTCATTCGTAAATATGTGAGATCGATACGAATGCACCCGGCATGTTATCATTTTAGACCACGGTGGCTTCAGACAATTAATATTAAAAACAAAAAAAAGAGAGTAATACATTTGTTTAGATGTTTTCTATTATCGATTATACTCATAAACTATTATTATTATTTACTGTGGTAGGGGGTTTTGTAAGATAGTGGAATTAGATACCACGATATTCTCGAAATTTGTAGGTTTTTCAATCTTGTGTTTAATTAGCGTAATGCGACCTTGTCATAAATCGAATCAGCCCGTGCTGAAGCAATCTATAAAAGGTAAATTGTCTCTAGTAGGAGTTTGGAGCCTGCATAATAGTCTGTCGTACTGTTTACCTACTTCTTATTTTAACCTCCTTGAGATGCTTTGAACCCTTTGTTTAGATATGGGCAGAAGCATCCACATTCTATTGTCTATGGGCTCCGTCCGCCAATAACTTTACACGATCAAATTTGTCAGTCAATCATCAATTAAAAAATATGTATGTAATGTTGTAGCGTGGGTTCACGTTTCAATGGCAGCTGCATTTTCCTCTTCCTTTATATAATAGGTAACAAAAACAAACAAAACGTTATGTTTTTTGTTGACGAACGAAATAATCGCGAAGTTGTTTTTTTTTTTTGTTTCACAACATCTATCCATTTGACGGTTTTATTAATATTGTCTACCAATTCCAAACGTTTTTCATTAATGGAATGTTTTTGTTTTAAGAATAATAGAGACCGTAAGCATTCACCATTCCAGGGTTTTTGTATTCATTTGAAAGTATGAACATGTATTTCAAATTATTAACGGGACTTTCCGAGGGTTTTTTAACATGGATAAATTAAATGATCAATTCCGGTAGTAAGGCATATCCAACTTTCCCAAATGTGGGTTTTACCCTAAGTCGTATCTGATTCAAGAACTTGTTGTTTGCGGTCGGTCATTTGAAATGTACAAATTCATTAGTTCTTAAAGCTATCGGTAAAAAAGATGTGCCTTATTCTTTGAATGCTAGTTCATTATTTTTATGACACGCCAACAAAAAATGAATCTGATCGATGACTAATGACATTTACTTAGGTATCCTAATTTTTTTTTTTGTTATTCACATACAAAACCCTCACCTGTAGTTATTACTGTTAATTGTGTATTTTAAATGTACTGACACTAAACCGCCCGCTGAGTTTCTCGCCGGATCTTCTCAGTGGGTCGCGTTTTCGATTCGGTGGTAGGTTCTGCGAAGCATAGTCCTTGCTAGGCCAGTGTTAGCAATACCTCTGGTTTGAGCTCCGAGAGCTCACCTACACGTAACAGTAGCCAAAGGGGATGTGACTCAGGTCCGTGCCGCGACGACCCACCCCGCGGTACCCGCGCCCGCGCATCTATTGCACCCCCTAGTAGTGCGCGCCAGACCATATATACACTTAATATTTGCGCCAGACTCAAGCGGCAAACACGCGATATTATTTCTTTCCACAATATAATTAGCATTTTTTTTTCTACAGGTGATCGCAAGGGTTCGGGACCTTGTAACGGCGATTCAGGCGGTGGTCTTTATATTTTAGATGGAGGAAGATGGCGTCTTCGAGGAGTTGTCTCGCTTTCATTACGTCCACAAAACGGAGACAATTCTTGCAATCTTAACGAATATATAGTTTTCACTGACACAGCTCAGTATCTTGGTTGGATTAGAACAGTTATTTCACAGAATTTGTATGATTAATGTGCATACTATATTATGAATGATAATATATAAAATGTCTGAAACACTGCGCCGACTAATGAATTAATTAATGTAAGCCATGAGGCATACTTCTTTGTGGTATTCGAGTATCGATATCACATCTGTATAGACTGCATCGACAAAACATAAATTAATTTAATTTAACATTGTCTTAATTTAATAAATAAATAACTAGGATGAAATGTTGTTTGTTTTTTATATGAAGATACCCATATGTGGCAACGGACACTGTGAAACTCGACCTACCAAACTGTCTACAAATACAAGATAGTAGGTCAGATATTCTGCGTTAGTAGACAGACGTATCTATTGATATGTTACTAACATCTTTAATTTCACATCTTTAACATTTTATTTTATGTAATGGCGGTAGATTTTTGTAAGGATTATATTGATATAACTTCTGCCATTAAACAATCACGCATATCCAACGGAAGGATGCAATAGCTGTTTACTAGTAAGTACTATTATAACACATAGCCTTAGAGGTACACTCATCATTCACATTGATAATGGACATAATTAAAACAAGCGGTGAGCACACAGCTTACCTATTGAGCCTGATATAGGGCAATCATAGCTCATGAACATCAGCAATGGCAGGGACATAGCTAAGTAACTGCCTATCCTGACCTACACCTGACTGAAATAGTTTTATTTCTTACTTTCACTTACGTTATGGATGTCCGAAATACACATATCAAGCCAGGATAATTATATCAAGAAGCTGAATTCAAACTTACTATGTTTTTATTTCCGATCCATTTCATAAAGATGCTCCGGCTGCACCTGAGCCCAGTATTATAGTTTTTTTGTATTGCTTAGATGAGTGGATGAGCTCACAGACCACTTGTCGTTAAGTTTTTACTGGAGCGCATAGACATCTACAACGTAAATGCGCCACCCACCTTGAAATATAAGTTCTAAGATCACAGTATAGTTACAACGGCTGCCCCACCCTTTAAACCGAAACGCATTACTGCTTCACGGCGGAAATACACAGGGCGGTGGTACCTACCCGCGCGGACTCACAAGAGGTTCGGTTTGATTCCGACTTATAGCAGGAATGTAAATTCGAAGTCATGTTGTAAATTGTTTTATTCGCACTTAATATGATAGTGACACAGAAACTTTTAAAATATTGAAAATTAGAACAACGTGGTTTTATATGGTCTCCGGATTGTAGTTAAGATTTTTAAAACAAATGAATAATTTACAATGGACTGGATGCTTAGATAACGTTGATACTATAATGAAAAAAGGGGTTCTTCTACGATTACCGACATAACAATCATCAAAATTAAGTAATATTGTTTAGGGATGTTACATTTTACTTTGCCTGTCTTATTGATTATTAATTTGTTCAAATGTTCAAACGAAATAAAATGTTCAATCAAAAAAAAAAGTAGTGCATATTATGTTTCGTTCCCTTTGCTTATAAAATGGAGAAATAAAACATATTGTGATTCCGGTTTTTACTTCAAATGTAAACAATAGATAAACAACGAAATTAAATTCTAAAAACCAAAAGATTAAAAGAGAAATAGTCATATCACAGACACTGAAACAATTTAAATGTCTTGGAAGAAATTAAATTGTCAACCACATGATTTACAGTTATTGGCTACGCTTTCGGGTGGTCAAAGTTTCAGGTAAATAATGTGAAAAATACACTAAGCGAATTTAGCACTCACTAACCGGCGCCATCTAGGCGGGCTTCGGATAGCCTGCCGACCGACTGGGCTGGTGGTCGTGGCGCTGAAGACCGCCGGTGCGGCGTCCCGAGGGGGAGGTTGATGGCAGAAATGTGCTCCGCACTAAACGCTTCACGTTCCCCCCTTTGCCTTTTCATGAGTTCTGTGTCATGTGAGGTTTGGACGTTGGTTGTTGAGCGACAGGAGGTTTTAATTGGTTCGACTCCGACATGCTCCACCCACCATCCCCAGTGGAGAACGGAAGTCCGATGATTTCCTCCTGACCAAAAAAAAAGAGCGAATTTAGCAAGTCCGCTGCTATTTCTTGAAAATTGATAATTAAATATCTTAACAACTCTAACCCTAGCTCTCTACACTTTTCCGAATCTTAATCATTCTTGAATGTGTATCCCAAATGCTGCATATGGACGCTGAATACAATGACCACTGCCTGTCTGGCAGGCTATATGCTCGTCTACCACCAATGGCAAAATAATCTCCCTCATCGATACCATCCCTCTGCACTCATTTAGGATACCGCCCACTGCAGATTTTATTAAGTCTTATACAGCGTTATAATCGGACCAGTCGACAAATTGGATGATGATAAAAAGCGAAACTAATGCTTTATGTAATAAAATAAATCAGGACGATATACCTTTAGGTTAGGAAATTACAAAAAAAACCAGCCGGGTCATAGGAAGTTTTTGTTTTTCATTTAATGGTGATGTTGAAAGTTGGTTACTATCTAAACATGAACTTTCTCTTCATCATTATCTTCTCCAGATCCCTACACAATTTTTGCTAATCTGTTAAATTTTTTTAAAATATTAAACTTTATGTTAATTTGTTTAGATGGACCCACAACACAGAAACAGATGAATGGACAGGCATATTCTCAAAAACAGTTTGGAAACTCAAACAGGCTGACAACTGTTTGTTATACCAAGTACTAGGTAGTTTATTGAACTTTCCAGAAAACAATGGCAGTAATAACAAAAAAACAAATTTCAAAAAGTTGTTAGAAAATTACCTGAGGTTAGATTATGATCTCAAAGAATTATATAAAGACTGGTCTAATAAAGATGAGCTATTCAAATCAGCTGGCCAACAGTTCTACGGAGTAAGGATGCTTAGACAAGAACCTGTTGAAAATCTTTTCTCATTTATTTGTAGCCAAAATAATCATATTTCAAGGTAAGTAATGGATGATCTGTATGTATGTATTTCGACAATTGAAAAGAATAAGTTAATTTTTATATAATTAAAACTACATTTCTGTTTATAATTTTCATTTTATTCTTTCCGGACACTTTGTAAATACTTTGCACAAATTTAGTGCAATTAATCATCTGTTACCATGAAAACTGTAAAGTATTTGCAATATTAAATATATTAAACATAGTTTTAATTGTATCTGTACCTTTTAGAAGCCATAGAAAATACAAATTTTCATTGCTTAATTTATATTAATTTGGCTCTTTTTTAAATGTTTAATTTTTCAAAATGGTCTTGTAATTCTTATTTAACTGTTTAATATGAAATTTGTTGGTTAAAAAACCTTTACCTCTTGTACGATTATGTACGATAAATTAATTTTGTTTAAATAAAATAGTGATTTTTACTTAATCGTTTTAGGATATCGAGTATGGTGGAAAAGCTGTGCACAAATTATGGTGAAGAAATCTGTAAGCATGAAAATACTGTGCATTACTCCTTCCCTGATATTGAGAAATTGGAGTGCCCAAAAGTAATAGCTCGAAACTAAATTCTCAGACACTAATGATAAAACTGGTGGTAGGACCTCTTGAGAGTCCGCGCGGGTAGGTACCACCACCTTGCCTATTTCTGACGTGAAGCAGTAATGCGTTTCGGTTTGAAGGGTGGGGCAGCCGTTGTAACTATACTTGAGACCTTAGAACTTATATCTCAAGGTGGGTGGCGCATTTACGTTGTAGATGTCTATGGGCCCTAGTAACCACTTAACACCAGGCGGTCTGTGAGCTCGTCCACCCACTTAAGCAATAAAAAAAAACTAACTATGTTTGTTTCTTAATAAATGAGTTATTTTAAAATAATAATAACATGACGTGATCGTGTTATTAGAGTCTGGCAGCACCTTGCTTTCGATATTGTGAGATCTATTATTATTGTTGTCTCCTTTCAGCACAACAAATTATTACTTTGCAATAAAAATAAGATGATGGAAACAAATATAAAAACTAAATTTAAATTAAACTATTAAGCTAAATCGGTAATTATGTGAAATAACTAAAAAAAAGTACAGCACAAAATATTATTTCAGGTTGAAACACAACTAAGAAACCTAGGGTTTGGATACAGAGCGAAATTCATACAAAAATCAGCCTCACAAATAGTTGAATGGGGTGGTGCAAAATGGTTTGACGGTCTTCAGAACATGAAGTACAAAGATGCTAAATGTGAACTCATGAAATTACACGGAATCGGACCTAAAGTGAGAAACATATTATTATCTTTCTGGTTTATGTCTCTCAGTCAGACATATATATTTCTTTTTTTATGTAGAAATACTAGAGTTTAGTTAAATGGGCTGAAGGTTATGGACCCCTGATATTGGATCTGGAGTGCTTTGGGCAGAACTTGATTGAAGTCTTATTTATATTAAAGTAATACTTTTTTTTATTGCTTAGATGGGTGGACGAGCTCACAGCCCACCTAGTGTTAAGTGGTTACTGAAGCCCATAAACATCTACAACGTAAATGCGCCACCCACCTTGAGATATAAGTTCTAAGGTCTCAAGTATAATTACAAAGGCTGCCCCACCCTTAAAACCGAAACGCATTACTGCTTCACGGCAGAAATGAGAAGGGTGGCGGTACCTATCCGTGCGGACGCACAAGAGATTCTACCACCAGTAATTACGCAAATTATAATGATAAACTTCACATATTGTTCAAACTGGATTACTGAAATTATAAAATAGAATATGCTATAAAATACCAGATACACAGAAGGGTGAGACTGATCTATATAAGCTCTAACATTGCTTAAATAGTTAGATATGATAAGGATACCAGCAATACGTACAAGTAACAACTTAAGACAACTGGCTTATCTACAACCGCATCTGCTAAAAAGCCCGGAACATTCCTCTTCGGTTTCTTCTTTTTCTCTACTTAGATAAACCGAATAAAACATTTAAAACTAACCAAATCAAAAAATAATATGTTCAATAATTCTACAATTAGTAGCATTGATCATAAGCATGTGAAAAATTAACTTTTAACTTGACTCTCATTTAATGGTGGTAGGACCTCTTGTGAGTTCGCACGGGTAGGTACCACCACCCTGCCTCGTTCTGCCGCGAAGCACTAATGCGTTTCGGTTTGAAGGGCGGGGCAGCCGTAACTATACTGAGACCTTAGAACTTATATCTCAAGATTGGTGGCGCATTTACATTGTGGATGTCTATGGGCTCCAGTAACCACTTAACACCAGGTGGACTGCGAGCTTGTCCACCCATCTAAGCAATAAAATAATAATAAAAAAACACAAGGGTACTTATTAAAATATTATATTTATTGTATCAGGTCGCCGACTGCATTTGTCTTATGTCACTAAATCATCTCGAAGCACTGCCAGTGGACACGCATGTTTATCAGATAGCAGCCCAGAACTATTTACCACATTTACGAGGAAAGAAGAATGTAACAGAAAAGATGTACACAGAAATCGGAGATCATTTTAGAACGCTCTATGGTGATATGGCTGGGTGGGCTCACACTGTGAGTATCTAAAAATGTATTATTTTTCAATATTATTGGTCTACAATACTAAAAGGTCGTTGCATGTTTTTTATTACGGTAATTTAGCCAAGTCAAACGAGGTTTGTAGAGTACTTACGGTAGGCAGCGGCTTGGCTCTGCCCCTGGCATTGCTGAAGTCCATGGGCGACGGTAACGCTCACCATCAGGTGGGCCGTATGCTCGTCTGCCTACAAAGGCAATAAAAAAAATACTAAACAGTGGAGCCATTAACAGAATAGCTCTTAGGATGATATACATTTTTTGGATTGAGAAGTTGACAGTGTTGTAACATCTGATATTAAATATATATAAATATAGCAGAGACGAAAAAACGAAGAAAATAGACATTACTTCTTGGGTTCTTCTGAAGTTTAACTTAAATTTGTAGCCTTTTAAAGTACCATTTAATTTCGACAACAATATAACAAAGTAGCTTAAAGAAGTTCAGTAACCAATAAACAAGTGGGTAGAACAAATAGAAACAATGGAATAATCTAAATAGAATAAATAAAGGATTCATTAAGTTCCTTAGTTATATAACTATTTAATAAAAACTATTCACTATCTTTGTGGAATATTACTTTTGAAATCCTTAATAAAATTAAAGAATTGTTAAATTTCTTCTAAGATACCTCTTTATTTTGGCCCCAAAATGATAATATCATATGCAGTAGAGTACGTTCGGCCGACCTTAAACTCGTGCGTAAAAAAGAAAACATGTCAGATTTCGCTATTGTTATTATTATTCCATTATTGATGTTTCCAGATTTTATTCTGCTCAGATTTAAAGAAATTCCAGCTTGGTGATAATTCTCAAGTAAATGAATGCTCAAAACCGAAAAGAAAAAGAAAAAAGTAATACCTACATTTAAGTTTTATTATAATTACATTTTTAAATACAGTATGTTAATTCACTTTATAGAAATTTGTTTCATTTCTGTACATGATATTGTATGACGACGACTATTAAATCTCGCCGGATCTTCTCAGTGGGTCGCGATTCCAATCCGGTAGTAGATTCATTCATTCGCGAATCAATTGCTCTTGAGTTGCTAGGTCTCCTTCGGAGGCGCTCGGACAATTGTTAGCGAGTCGGCTATGCCTTTCTGGTGTTACTGCTCCATAGAAACAATAACCATTTACCATTACATGAATATTTACGTCTGTCTTCTATGCCAAAAAAAAGAAAGGTTCTGTTTAGAAGAAGAGAATAGCAGATGATCTGCTAGACTTGAAGAGCGAGGGGGAAAGGAAGGGAGGTACAAACAAAACGTTTTTTATGACAACGAAACCGTAATTAAATAAATCAAAATACACTTTTCACAACACACATTTTTATTATTGTACATACGAGTAAATATAATAATATAATAGTTCTAAAACTAAAACATAGATGACAACCTGGAATGGTTTAAATACGATTATTCTTTTAAAAAGATCCAATTCCTATATCACAATTTTAATACATTCAAAATGAATTTATAATATTATGACGAAAGTTTCAATAAGACATCGTTAACGAAAAAATAATGCTTTATTAGCAATTCACACAGTTTATGGGAGCCGTTATGGAAAATGGATACGTTATACACTGCGGTGCTGCCTTAGTTACCACTGGAAGTTCGAAGTCGTCGTGGCCTAAAGGATAAGACGTCCGGTGCATTCGTGTTGAACGATATGCACCGGTGTTCGAATCCCGCAGGTGGGTACCAATTTTTCTAATGAAATACGTACTTAACAAATGTTCACGATTGACTTCCACGATGCAGGCATAACATCGTGTAATAAAAATCAAACCCGCAAAATTATAATTTGCGTAAAAACTGGTGGTAGGACCTCTGGTGAGTCCGCACGGGTAGGTACCACCTCCCTGCCTATTTCGGCCGTGAAGCAGTAATGCGTTTCGGTTTGAAGGGTGGGGCAGCCGTTGTAACTATACTGAGACCTTAGAACTTATATCTCAAGGTGGGTGGCGCATTTACGTTGTAGATGTCTATGGGCTCCAGTAACCACTTAACACCAGGTGGGCTGTGAGCTCGTCCACTCATCTAAGCAATAAAAAAAAAAAAAAGACACGTCCTTACGGATCCATCAGATCCAATAACCTTTGCATTAGACGTCTTCAAGTCTAACACTAGGAGCGGGCTTAGGGACCCCGGTAACGAATCTACCGCCGGATCGAATCGCGACCCACTGAGACGATCCGGCAAGAAAACCCAGGTTAACATAACACCGACTGGAAGAGCATCTTGTATTAAAACATTTGGTACTATCCTTGCTTAGTTTTTCGTTGAGTGTCTTGTCGAAATCATTAAATATAAAATTATATTGCACGTTATAATATATGTACTTAGAAATAATTTGTGAGATTATGTTACATTATTTTAAATCTATAAATGCTTTTACATTTCATTTCAATATACTTAAATATAATAATACATTGTGAAAGTCATTTGTGCTCGATACGAATAATATTTGGTAGATACAAACAAAATAATCTACTGTATTTCTGAAATAAGTGATGTTTATTATATGAAGAAAAATCACAGCATTATTTGGTCCAAAACTTTTTCAATTACATTTACGTTTGAATTTCGTTTTAAACTATGTTATTGTAATGTATCGTTCTCAACTTTTTAGATAGATCCGAGACGATAAAAAAATCGATATTTAAAAATTTACGTATCTGGCAACAATTTGATCGTGCAGGGACCCTATTGACGCACCATAGACAATTATTGACGTTTATCACTTTGAGGCTTCGTATATTTGTGGACAGTGCTCAATCAATATCTGAAGAGCTCGAATCTCGAAGGCTAGGTCGGTGATGGTGGGCGGAGTAGCTACTAGTGTTGGCGCGAAAACGGTACTCAAATTGTGAGCGCTCATCTTATTAACCTCCGCCTGTTGGGACACCCTGGAACAAATCCTTTTATTATGTTGGATTCTCTGCAATGTAAGCGAGCTCGGAACGTCTGAAGTTTTGTAACTATGTACTGATAAAGACATTCCTCTGAAGAGTCGCTTGAAGTGATTAATGACATCACCTCCCTCTCCTAAATTGGATTTTACACACCCTGGGTTTATTTGGTTATCGGAGTCGGTAGACATCGCAATGTGAGTGCCGCCGCCCCCCTTGTAACCCTAATTGTATTGTATAACGGTTGTCCCTTGAGACAGGCAGGATGGTTAATTTTTTGTTAGAGCCTGGTCCGCGTCTAGAGACCGCGCGGAGTATGCGAGACATGACGGTCTGCAGATGTAGAGAGGAAACTGCGGGCCCAAAGATGTTTAGGTAGGTCGCCACGCGGTCATGCCCACTTAGCTCGCCCCGTAAACTTAACCCCGGGGCCCTACAGGGGACTGGGAAACTTAACCCAGCTTATCTATAACAGCAGTAATTACGGAAATTTACAATTCTGTCGGGGTGCTCTTTTATATTCCTTCACCGTAGAAGTCGAACACGTGTAACGCACATACCTCCAGGTATACCTCCAGCGGTCGGGAAACTTTTTTAATTATTACCCCAAAATATTTTTGTGTAAGTTGATATTACCTCATGGCGAAGAACAAAAAAAAAACGAAATCGCTTCTTTTTACCATCTTTCATGTTATAGCCCCCATGATAATTTTGAAAAGAAAACGATAACTAAAAATTTAACGATTCTAAAGGAGTTTCACTTCAATATACACTTTTTACTCACAATAGTTTCTTTTTTACCCCCCAAAATTTCATTTTACCGCATTGAGGTAATTTACCCCGGTTCCCCAACCGCTGAGGTAACCAACCATTATGGGGGGGGCAGTGACCTCATCTACTTTCGATTAATTGAAATTAGTACAGAGCGTAAAGCGGAAAAGGAAGTAGGAAAGGGGATACTGACACTAGACCGGGAAAACGCTAAGAAGAAGAAGTACAGACAGTAAAACGAAATTACAAACAGACTTGGACTAGTTACTTTTTTGTATGTATAAAACACAAACCTGTGTAAATGCTGCATCATATATTGAAGACAGTTGAAGTGGGCAGGCGGCAGCGGCTCCAGACACTGCCTCAGCATCATTATCTGCTGCGGGATAGTCTTCGGTTCTGTAAATAATAAATATATACTTATCTATACTTAATATATAAAGCTGAAGAGTTTGTTTGTTTGAACGCACTAATCTCAGGAACTACTGGTAAGATTTGAAAAATTCTTTCAGTGTTAGATAGCCCATTTATCGAGGGAGGCTATAGGCTATATAACATTACGCTAAGACCAATATAAGCGGAGCACCGATTAAGAATGTTTCAAAATCGGGGTTATGTTTACCTTTTTAGAGCTTCCGCTGCGTGCGCTGCAGAAACGGTTAAAGTTTCGCTAAAGTAATGTATGACAGAATTGTTCCCCTTTAAAAGATCTTAAAAAAGGCCGTGACAGCATATGTCTATATGTTAAGGTTGGCTCACTATAACGTTTTTTATGCTAACCAAATTTGTTCTAAAATAAAGCATTATTTGTGAACTATTCCACGCGGACGAAGTCGCGGGCAAAAGCTATTATATTATAAACGCGAAAACCTTTCTCCTTTGCCTGCTTCTACACTATTCTCGAGATACGTGTTTCTGTTTGAAGTGTCGGACACTACGACTGTGTATCAAGATGGGAGTGGGGTATTCGTGTTTCGGTGAGCATGAGCTTCGGGAACAAATCACGGTAATACTATTATCTATCCCTAACACTGGCCCTAACAAGAGCAGTGCTTCGCAGAATCTACCACCGGATCAGAAACCCGACCCACTGAGAAAATCCGGCGAGAAACTCAGTGGGCTCTATGTCTATGGGTTAATTTACTCGTCGAACCCTTCGTCGCAAGCGACGGGTCCGGCGAGGACGGTGACCGGTGCTTGTGGTACCTAAAAGCACCGTTAATAGATCGGGAGGATCCGTAATGACGTGTTTAGGGCAACACAGTCTTCCTTCTGTTCTAACCTTCATACCACGTCGACTGCCATGTGTGTATGTGTGTTGTGTGATAATTATATCAGTGCCCGACATGGTGAACTGATATAATTCTCTTGATTTCTGTTAGTAAGGCGCGGAGTATCTAGAACACTCTGGGGAAAGATGAATCCGAAGATACTGAGAAGGAATCTATTTCTAAGAGACCTTAAAAACTGAAACATACACTAAAAACCAAAAGAAGGCAAAGTAAGGCAATCCAAGCGCCTTAGTAACAAAAATCGACATAATTACTTCAGTGCGCCGCGTAGGGCACCGGTGACCTACACGGCAATCAACGTGTAAATCGAAATTAAAAAGACCCTAAAGAAATTATTAGACGTGTTATTACCACATTTTTCACATTCGATTAGTTCCCGATATTTTGGCGTGTCACAAACGCCATTATCACAGGTGGGCCCGTCAAAATGAATAGCGCAGTTTATTGTATATAGCCGAGAAAGCTTAAAAGGATTTAAAAAGAAAAAGATATTTTTTTTTAAAGACCTACATAGAAGTCTATGGATCATGGACTAGTAACGATTGAGATTGCATTTCAAAACAATCAGCAAGAAATTCAGCTTTTGCTCCTTTCCAAATACATAAATTAAACATCAACATTTAAATCTGTATACATCTTAATACATGTTTGAATAATGCAAAACTTTCGTAACGCTATCTTGTCGAAAAAAGTCTGGGTTTCTTTTTTTCTTCCAAAAATGTATTAATTTTTTTTTAATATCGACTCACGTATCGCCATTACGAGCTTGGGGTGGACTTCGTATGTGATCAACGGCACGGGCAATAACCGTAAATAAAGTTTCAGAGTTCCCGCTATTACGTTTATGTTGCTGTACACGCTGAGATCCGTTGCTTCGCCGTCTGCAAGAAAAAGGTCATTTTTAAACCATATTTTTTTTTACTTCTAAGCGTCGCTAGCATCTGCTCTCTTGAGTTAATTTTTTGAATCGATCTTCAGACATTATAATTAAAAAAAAAATACTCACCTCGATCAAAGGCCAATTTCAATGCCTCAATTTCGTCAGCGAAACCGGACACCCTGTATATGCCTTCAGAGTCCATTCCCCTAGATTCTATTTCGTTAACACACTTCGTCACAACGAACGGCATCGTACTGGAATGCGCATTCAGGAGCGTCGTCAGATCTATGCCGAAGACACCACGTAGCTTCTTTAGATCGGGGACGCAGTGATTAGGAGCGCGTTCCGAACATTTCGAATGAGCTATGAAGCCGCAATCTGGAGATGTCATGAAAACATGTAATAGGTACGACATTTCCTTCTTTAAAAGAGGCTTAAGCGGTAGGCAGCGGCTTGGCTCTGCCCCTGGCATTGCTGAAGTCCATGGGCGACGGTAACCACTCACCATCAGGTGGCCGTATGCTCGTTTGCATACAAGGGAAACTAAAAAATAAAATGAAAAAAAACGAAAACGTACACTGCCAGTTTCAATTTCGGAACTCCACAACAATCTAGAGCTCTAGAGCGATAATGTCTGACATAACCCGAAGGATTGCAAGGAAGTGGCAGTGACTAGGGCACATAACTTATAGAACATATTATAGCCACTTTGGCCAAAAAGTTCACCGACAGATATCTAGAGATCTGAGAATCAAATGCAGCTAACTATTTTCTAACTTATCAAATCGAAACGACAGAATTAACTAAGATGGAGCGATGATAACATTATATCATTTTTATCAACAGTATTCTGATCGTGTAGGTATTATTTAATTACACATTCAATCATACAGCTGACCCAAAATCAAGTCAAGGAGGATCAAGCTTATAATAGCTAAGACTGAATAAAACACTTTTATCTATACATATAAATAAAATTGGTGTGTCTGTTTGTAATATTGAAATAGCCGCTTTTTACTACATGCATAAGAACATATATACGGTACGTACACCAAAATAACATTTTTTACAATTTTTGTCTGTCTGTCTGTTTGTTCCGGCTAATCTCTGGAACGGCTGGACCGATTTTGACGGGACTTTCATTGATAGGTAGCTGATGATATAAGGAGTAACATAGGCTACTTTTGTTAGAGTAGCTTCGCCTCGCGGCGTCACCCGCCGTACGTCAATAACTGGTTACATCGCGGGCCTCAGCTATCAATAATAAAATTTAATGTTTCCGAAGCGAAGCGAGGGCGGGTTGCTAGTTACAAATATAAATAGATAAATTAAAAAATTGAAAATTTTTGTTACTCAAATGCAACACTATAAACATATTATGGAGGTTGCTAATATTTTTGTAAATATTAGTATGTATACACAATGTTCTCATGGACATGGTTATTTATACAAAAAAAAAATTGTATAAATCACAGATAAGAAAGCATACAATGATGAATTATTATGGTGTTTGCATAAGTCTTTAGATATGTTACAATAAATTATGTGATTCCAAGGGTGCCATGGTCTCAGGTTTTTATATGTTATTTGGTCAAGGTTTATTTTAGTTTTTCATTATTAATCTATACGAAACTATAGTTTTATTTATTTCATAAAAAGTAATTAAAGATGATTTTGGAATACATAATAAATATGTGCATTTTAAGAGGGAGCTATTACTGCTGGCTCGAAGGCTTTTCCAGTTTCATCAGTACAGGTGGGCGAGCACTGGTTCAGCCAGGACGGATGGGACCTCACTGAGCGCCTCCAAGGGAGACCTAACAACTCAAGAGCAATTGCTTCACGAATAAATCTACTACCTCTAAGAGAATCCAGTGAGAAACTCAGCGGGCTAATGTATGGGTTAGCTTGCAAGTCAAACTCTTTGCCGAGTTCGATGAGTACCGTTACCAATATGCTTTTATGACTGTGTAAAGGTGTGTGTGCTGTAAACTCATCTTTTGTAGAAGTTTGGACATGAATACTTTTACCACTCTTAGTATTAGGTTACTAGTGGTAGGACCTCTTGTGAGTCCGCACGGGTTGGTACCACCACCCCGCCTATTTCTGCCGTGAAGCAGTAATGCGTTTCGGTTTGAAGGGTGGGACAGCCGTTGTAAATATACTTGAGACCTTAGAACTTATATCTCAAGGTGGGTGGCGCATTTACGTCGTAGATGTCTATGGGCTCCAGTAATCACTTAACACCAGGTGGACTGTGAGCTCGTCCACCCATCTAAGAAAAAAAAAAGGCGTATTATTAACAAATATTATGGCGATAAAAACTTTTACCTTCACATTTTACTCCCTGTGCAGTGAAACCCCATAGAAAATTGGCACAGAATTCACACCAATTTAGTCCTTTGAACGTATGCACACGAAAATTGTGTGATTTTGAGTATTTAATGACTAATGAATTATTTTCTATAGTGGGAGTGAGTTCGCAGATTGGCTTTATAGATGAATCAATTTCAGTGATTTTCGATTCAATTCTGTTTAATATTGGACTTAACTTGTTCGAAGCTCTGAAAATAATGAATTCAATTTTTTTGTCAATAGATGTACATTAAATGGCCATAGGTACAAAGCACTGAGATATGCATTACCTAATAAGTATTTTTTAAGTTTTCACAGTTTATGTAGGAATATAAGATAGCATTTTTATATTAGCACAGTAGCTCAGACTAACCTACAAGGCAAGTTCGGTCTTGGATATAATTAAGGATATACTATTTTATATCTATTATATTAAGGATATAATATAATTAAGGAATTGGATATAATAAAGCCCAAACTTGTAAATTGTTATAGTATTTAAATCACAATATGTAACTACAAAGAATACTTAATTTTTTTTTTTATTAATTTACAAAATAACTAGCAACATTCACTGTTGCTGGAGTCCCAAATGGTAAATTCATATTTGAATTAATAAAATTGTTAAATAATCACTATTTCGATCAAGTTACAAGCTAGAGATAGTAAAAGTTTACTTACTGCTGTATTTTAGATAATGTATTTAATTTTCTTCTATTTAACGTCACATACGGGCTGTCCGTGTAATTGGCCCTTGAGTTGATCATCTCCAGTATATGATGAGCTTTTATCTCCATGTGGCAGGTAATGAGTCCATCCGCAACAAGGTCATATATAGTGTCATAACGTTTATCTTTTATGTAATGTGTCCCGTCATAGTAAAGTTTATAATGATGAACTTTGTCATTGAATCTGAAAATATGTATGTACAAATATCAATTAAAATTTTTTATAATATGATACACAGTAAAATCTGTTTTAATTCAACAAGTACCCACAAATTCAAAGATTACTGCTTAGAATTTGATTGATTTTAATGTTATTATAAATTTGGACAATCGAACAATTCACATTTTTTATAATGTAATATCACAATTACTTATTGTATATATACATTGTAATGAATTTTTAAAAATTTAATCCGTAACAAAACTCAAACAAAAACAAAAAAAAAAGTAATTAAGAATAAATATCTTGGTAATGTATCTTACAATACATTCTTCATTTCAATATACTTTCAAAAAATATATCGGAGTAGGTTCAGGTTTTCTGAAGATGTTTGTAACGACATGGACAATTTTTTATTTCTTTTTTACGATTTTCGTATATTATATAATAGATGATACAGTGTGTATTACCTCCAAGTCAGTGTGTAAAAGTCGTTGTAGGGATTCCCTTTTCTAATCAAGAAGGCACCGTTCGGTTCATTTTCTAACAACAGTGTAGCTTCCTTATGTCCTAGAATGCCATGAAATTCTTTCCCGTAAAACTTAGGTCTATCCGGACAATGGTCACAAGGAACCCGCTTCGGCACAGGAGCTTCNAATAGATGATACAGTGTGTATTACCTCCAAGTCAGTGTGTAAAAGTCGTTGTAGGGATTCCCTTTTCTAATCAAGAAGGCACCGTTCGGTTCATTTTCTAACAACAGTGTAGCTTCCTTATGTCCTAGAATGCCATGAAATTCTTTCCCGTAAAACTTAGGTCTATCCGGACAATGGTCACAAGGAACCCGCTTCGGCACAGGAGCTTCAATTTGAATACGATACACTGCAAATATTCCCATTTAATAAAAGGAAGAAATAAAAACAAGCTTTGTGACTGGATTATTTCTAGCCACTTACACTCTGGTTTCCAAATATTTTTCAAGTTCTCCATTTTGATTTTTTTTTATCAATATAAAGTTTTTATCGCCGTCCGTATTTTTTAATTAATTTAATTTTGCCAAAGCATTAAACGTTTGTAGTTGAAACTCAGAAACGTAAACAAAACTTGCCATTTGTCAACATTTATCATTCGTGCTGTTTGACGTTTGTTGACGTTTGACATTGAATAGCACTAATGTTTGGTTTTTCACTAGACACAAAGAAAACCTGGACTATACAGCAAATTTGTTTGTAATAAAAATGATTCTTTAATTAAATTAAAAGAGGTGAGCTTAGACCACAACGTAAATATTGGGTGAGATAAAATTAAATAGATTTTAAATAAAAATATGCAAAATTACTAAGAATTCTATGATCCCTTTGAATGAACCCTAGAAGCCATGTCCAGCTAAATTGGTTTGCGTAGATCCTATTACACTTCTCACTGATTGTCCATTTCAGCAAATCAGTTGATTTCTCACTTAAGAGTGTTGCTTGAGAACCTGGATCAATCAAGCGCGCAGTCGTATGGTGTATATATATTCGTTGATTGCCGTGATTATAGTTGTTACCAATAGGGCTTGTCCTTGTATAGTTGGTTTATTTTGTTTCAGTTCCCGTATACTATGCACATTCACACTTATTAATCCATAATAATTACATGTTTGATCTTAAGTTAAGCGCTAAATTAACAAAATAAAACAATTCCCAGAGCTAAGCACCAAACATTCCCCCTAAAAAATTATCACTAAAATTCAACAATAAATTTAGTAAATTCTATAAAAAAAATTATCGCAATATTTAGTAGGTGAGTAGATAGTTAAATATAATATGTAGATTCGGGCCTCCTGAAGGTAAGTAGTCACTGTTGCTCATGGCCTTTAGAAATATCCGGGCTTACAAGCAAGTCACTGGCTACTATGTACTAATACTGTACTGCTTACGTACCACAAATTATTCATAGTACGGTCTAATTTTATAATTGTACAGAATGCTTCACACATGGTAAGTACAAGCTTGAAATGAAACGTCACAGGCTTATTTCCAATGTAGTCATACTGAAGCACTCTTGAGTCATCGAAGTGGTTCATAAGCATTGAGCACAGCCAAACACGTCGCCTTTGGCTCTTTTCAAATTTTACCTGATCAGCATCTATGGATTATCCATCCAACCTACCAACTGCCAACTATCGCAGTCTTAAATTACGGGCGTATTTATATGCAAATTACGTTTACAACCGCAGAGCAGACATATTATTATTATTATTACCGAACTCCATATCAATAGCCTAATGCCATTCAAGAACATAATGACGTCGTCGTGACCTAAAGGATAACACGTCCGTTGCACCGGTGTTCGAATCCCAGGCGGGTACCAATTTTTCTAATGAAATACGTACTCAACAAATGTTCACGATTGACTTCCATGGTGAAGGAATAACATCGTGTAATAAAAATTTTAATTTGCGTAATTACTGGTGGTAGGACCTCTTGTGAGTCCACACGGGTAGGTACCACCACCCTGCCTATTTCTGCCGTGAAGCAGTAATGCGTTGCGATTTGAAGGGTGGGGCAGCCATTGTATAATTGAGACCTTAGAACTTATATCTCAAGGGCACATTTACGTTGTGGATGTCTATGGGGAGCCCCATATGTACTTTGGAGTAATAATTCCTACCTCTTTTTTGTTGCTAAGATTTGATCAAAAGTAGTCAGCTGGCTTGAAACTAAACTTTGCGGAATTGATTATTATTATCAAACGAAATTATTCCTTCATCGAGTGAGTACGCAGTTAATTAAATACTCGATACTGATTAATTTTACACAAGCAGATAATTTTTGGAAATAAAATGCTAATATTAATTTACGCATATATACGGGCTCGAAGTAATTGTCCGTGACCTTAATATTGAATTTTTCGAGGAATTTTTCGACAGATTTTCAACATACCACGATACACAAAGGATTCTTATCTCTTTAAATTGATATGAGTATAAAAAGGAGGTTAGCGTCCTTAAGTATTAACATAGAGATCAAATTATTATTTGATGTTTGATTGCGTTCCAGTTGAAAAAGAATAAAAATAAAACTTGTCGAATGTAAACTGTACGCATAGATAATTAAATTTTAGGACGACATAATTATTATGGGCAATGAACAATACCATAATATTCAATAATACCTACCATTAGGTTGAAGAAAACGAACACAATCTTAATTACATTGGTAATATCCGACCCAGGCGACAGAGCAACGCCTATTCGCCGTTGCCCAAAACTTGTCTTGTCGGATCCCCGGATCCATTCTCGATGCGTTTAGACTCTTTAAGCACCGGTCACCGTCCTCGTCGAAATAGTCGACCACGACGAAGAGTTCGACGAGTAATCTAATCACACTGAGTTTCTCGCCAGATCTTCTAAGTGAGTCGCGATTCCAATCCGATGGTAGATTATGCGAATCACTGCTCTTGCTAGGACTAGTGTTAGCAAATTTTAATTCTCTCAGGTTGAGCCCGTGAGTTGACCTACCCACCCGTGCGTAATTGGAATAGCCCATTAGGCTACCAGCGAATAGGTAGGGGGAAAAAAGCAATCTCAGACTACTTTTAAAACGAGAACCGAGCTCATATACATCACAAGATGCCCAGTTGAGACTTAAGGTCGAGGACTTATTTGAAAATTCTCAACAAAAATTGCGTGGTTGTTTAGGGCACAAATAAGAAAGACTACAATTGGTAGCAAAACCAGCATGTAAAGAGTTATGAGGAATGTTCGTAGGTAAGTAAGACGTTATGAGGAATGTTCGTAGGTAAGTAAGACGTTTATACTACGGACGGACGGTATGGACTTACCACCAACGACTTATGGACTTGTTAAGTAATCAATAGCTTCGCAAAGGGGTCAGAAATTCCCAAAGGGGTATTTGCAAATCGCAGTTTTTAAATTGGTTAGTATTTTGTATCAATGCCTAGCATAAAAACCAGGGAATAGAGAATCACTGCCCTAGATGTTTAATATCCAACATAAACAAATGTCACATAGGATTTTCTTATCGAAACGGTCAGGTTGGATACATAATTATGTAATGTTTTCACTTCAATTGATCCATCATTAAATAATCTATGTAGTCCCATATCCAAAACGTCAATGAATTAATAATGTCTTTATCAATAATAATAACAAAGAGTGAAAACGTGTATACTAAGTTATGAAAAGCACCTTAAGCACCGATGTTTAGTTTATGTTGGGATCAGTGTGCTTAGTGCTAGTTATTTAACTTTTCGATCGGGTAAAAGTTAACTCAAATTTGTATGGAGTTGGATGTTTGTAGGTATGTTGCGCTTGCCACTAGAGGTGCTATTTCAATAAAATACAAATTTGAGTTAACTTTTACGCGATCGAGAAATTAAAGAGTTTGCACTAAGCATACATACTGTCAAGTCAATATTGGCGTCTACCTATTCCTTCCACAGCTTTGAGATTTGTCGTTTAATTTAAAAATAATTATATGCCTTCCGGCCGAGTTCATCTTCTCGGAAACCATTTTGTGTAATTATTTTGACCAATCTGATGGCCGAACCGTTGACACTTAATGCTTACATTTTTTTTTTTTTTTTTCTTTTTCCTACCTAAGCTGGTAGCCTGGGGCGGCTATTCCAGCGTCACCGTAACTAGTAGGTGAGCTCACGGGGCTCAAACCTGACGACGATGCTAACACGAACCCTAGCAAGAGTCGCAGAATCTACCACCGGATCGGAATCGCGACCCACTGAGAAGATCCGGCGAGAAACTCAGTGGGCTGTGTCTGAGAGTTAATTTACTCGTCGAGCCCTTCATCGCAAGCGACGGGTTCGACGAGAACGGTGACCGGTGCTTGAAGTACCTAGAAGCACCGTTAGTGGACCGGGAGGATCCGAGATGATTCAAGTTTATGTTTGGTGAGTTTGAAAGCGCACAATGAATGCGTCTTAATTGCATCGACTATTAAAATATAATCCAAAAAAAGTTTCACTTCAAATTTTATACGGGTAAAAATATATCGAGCCCAGCGCCCTTCTGTTGAAAAATAAACAGCTAGATACCTCGAAACCATCGATAACACTTCCTAGATACATAATATTATTTAAAAAAACAATTGACTGCTATTGATTCCTGACACAGTGACACATTTTTGTGTTGGTAGATGCCATGTTTCAGTAGAAGGTTGTTTTTATTTTTCGTTTATATTTTTTTTTAGTTTAGACCTCTGTCTCCATGTTGGCGGCGATAAGCGAGACATGTTGGAAATGAACTGACTAAAACCCCCCCTGGCGTGTAACAAGTCGCGCCGAACCTAGAATGAGAGAGAACTCGAATATAACCCACATAATTTAAAGGTTTAGTAAAGCTAGTATAACCCCTCGAGACTACTAGCAATACGAAGGCAAAAAAAGTTAGGTTAGTTAGGCATTTCCTTCAAAATTATTTTCCCTAATGCAGCAATGCACAAAACCCGCTTTGTGACTACGTCATAGCCTTGCCCCTAAACATATTGCTTATTTTGTTTAGCATTCATTCATTAAATAATAAATTTTCCTATTAATGACGAAGGGATTCTCGTCTGTCGGGACGGGATATTGATTCATATTCGTGACGTCTTATTAGTGTACTACAAGTAATAATTCGTAGTAAATGCGTAATCAAGGTTGGCGATTGATTCATGGTAGATCAATATTTCATCTAAATATTTCTGATGCTGACAACCCTGTTTGGGGTCTAAGCGTAGGTATTTGTTCTTATCTCGCGTGTATGTTTTCGATACAGCGGATACATAACACAGGGGAAAATCCCATCTTGGAACCGTGCCATGTAGAAGGATGGTAAATGTTTATTGAAAAAATGTAAAATCAGTATCTTATTTTCATCTATCTTATCTGTGTTATTTTTGAAACATTGAACATGTGATGTTATTTCAATTTTTTTCTCCTATTCTGCTAAATGTCTTGTAGGCTATACTTTCATTTTATAAAGATCATTTCCATTTATCGATAGTAAAATATTTTCAAAGAAAGTGTATGTTTTCAGAAGAAAAACAAAACGATTCATGACATAACATATAAAAACATTTAAATAGATCATGTGACATTCCATTTGTCTTCTGAATATGATTGAATGAATATTTGGTAAAACTAGAGGTCCCCCAGTAGTCGAAATTCGACTATAATTAATTGGAATTGTAAGTTTGTACACTATTATAATATGATTATAATATATAATATAATACTTCTATAATCACAATTTCGCCAAGACAAACAATATTTAATTCTCAATTTGATCACAGACGTCAAGAACAAAAGTTTGACAATAAGTAGTATGCATGCGTGTGTGCGTCAAATACATGGTATGTAGTGTGTGTAATGTTTTCTTTATTGATTTAATGTATCTTTTATGCATTATTTAAAAAAAATATTAGCATTGTACACTTCTTCTCTATATTCTCTATAAGTGTGGAAAATTTCATACTCCTCCGTCCGCGCAATTTTCGTAAAAAGGGATACAAAGTTTTTGCTTCACGTATTAATATATAGATATACCTATTATGTAAATTATATTCTGGAATTTTACCGCCAATGTGCTCTTAAGCCACAATTACTTAAATTACGATTATATAGTGTATTCCGTGATAATCATAATAAAGCGTGTCAACCTTGAACTCCTAGACAATAAATAAAATTCTTATGAGTATCTTGTAAGGTAATTTATAACATTGATTGATAAAAGAGTTTATGGAATGACAGCAATTACTGAAATAGTGATGTAGACTTATAGACTCGATAATTAAAGTTACTTTTAAGTTTTAATCTCGCGTTTTTTTTTATTTTTGTTGTCATTATACTATTTCCGACAGTTTAAATATTATCTAATACATAGATTATTATTATATCCCTAATTTAAAAATGAAACCCAAAATAATGGATTCCGAAATGACTAAGTTACTAATCTTACTAATTGGATTGAGAGGACAAAGAACAAAAAAAATCGATGTCAACTGGCAGAAGTTTCTGGAACCTAAGCTGCCGCTCCTTTAGAATCTACTATACCATGTATTATACGTTGATTACAACAATTTTTTTTTGTTCTTTGTCCTTTCAACCCAATTAGTAAGATTAGTAACTTAAACTAGACTAGACTTAGACTAACATATCTAATATTTTTAGATTTTCTGATTGCATTTAAGCCACCACTTGTAACATTCGACAAGTGGTGGCATAAGTGCAATCAGAACATCTAAAAATATTAGATATGTTAGTCTAAACAAAATTGGTGCAATAAAAGCCAAACAATAAAAAATCATTGCTATAGCGTAGCAATCCTCTGTGCAAGGCTGAGAAAAAGATCACAAAAAGCTTGACTTGTAGAAGTGGCTACTTCCTTAAGCGGCTGACATACGAGTATTCATATGTAGAGCATAGGCAATTTAGAGGCGTCGATTTTTTGAGAATATTTTCATTATTGCTATTAGATGTTAGATGTTATTGTTATATTAGATGTTAATGCTTTTGCCAATATATCTTAAAAAAATTAAGTACCTACTACATAACTTGATAACTAATTTCGATTCTGCTATTACATAAACATTTATTTTAAATGATGATTTATATTGCTTAATAAATCTAAACATACAATAATAAAACATAACCAGAATGTTTGTTATCCTTTCGTAGAAAAATTCCATGTTCCTTATATAGTATACGCCTCCGTATACACATTCATAGAACACGGACGACTTTTATATTTCTTAATCATATCTACCTTTTCCTAAACTTACTCTTAGCAAGCGAATACCCTCCGGCTTTCAAGATTTTGAAGTTATACTTCTTTAAGCGCGTTATGAAAAATTGATGAGAGTGAAATTTTACGATGCGCGCGCACCGTGACACAAAATTAACAGAATGAAGTTGCCCACTAAATGGCTCATTACAATACGACCGACGTAACTTGGCGAGGCTGAATATAGCCGCAGGTGAACTTTCCGAACCGTACCGATACCGACCGATGTCCAATATGCGTGTTTGAGGATGTTGTTTAATCGAATTTTTTTTCAAATTGATTAAAATTTAAATAAAAAATAATAAAAATAAAGTATAACTTCTTACGCGCGTATATAGGTACACGCACCCTTTTTTATAGGATCGCCAGGTAGTTGAAGTTTGAACATAATCTAAAGTGCATAACCATGAACAGAGTCATCCAATGTATTTGTAACAATTATTTAAATAGATATTATCGTCTTAGCGTATACCGAGTATAATCTATGTTAGATACGTCGAATTTTAACAAACGTAACTAATTTTTGATCGCTTTGTTAGTCCTGTGATTCCTGACTGGACTCCGGGGTACTAGTATAAGTCCTAATCATTCATTAAATAGTGAAAGATATTCGATTTTCGGGGTCCGAGTGTCGAATTTAGTTTCTTGTTTGGTACCCTTAACGCGTATTAAGATTCTAGCTTATATTAGGTTCGTCTTTTATAGAGTGCTATTTGTTATCTAATTATTGCATTTATTTGGTCTGAAAATTAATCGTATATAATAGTATTATATTATTAGCCTTAGCCTTTTGGTAGAATATTTACTGAATTTTTGTTGTTTAAAATAATCTATTTTGTCGATGTAATCATATAAATCGATACTACTTTTAAAATTAATGTTTGGGTATTTATTATTTTTGTCCCAAATTGATACGAGACAGGACGTATAATCACATTAAGGGAAATTTACGTTGTAAACTTACCTTCAACGAGGCGTTTTTTATCAATAAAGCCGTATGTAAAGTGTTAAGCGGCAGCGGATCACGGCTTTACTATATTTATGAAACAAATACATTAGACATTAGATGTTATTTAGGTTTTTTATTGTAAGCTCATCTGACAGATATGTCTCCTAGAAGTGTACCGTAAACGCTTTCGCCCTCTTTGAGAATTTAACCATAACCATGCATGGTTTATATCTATAGATATGTATCTCATCTGATTTAAGTTAAATAATACCTGAAATTTTAGAAACCGCAAACGCTCCCGCTCTCTCTTGTGCCAACATAACCACAGCGTCTCAAAACGTAAATACATAAACCGTTTCTTTATATAAAGAGATTCCTGGTGACTTACTCAGTATTAAGTTGTCATACACGTGTACGGGTAGGTACACACACGAGTTCGAGTAGTAACAGTAATAAAGTAATTAAATTTTAACTAAAATGTATAAAGTCTGTAGTTTATGTACTTTCCTTTACTTTGTAATTTTAATGGCTACCTGTAGTTGTTGGGTGATGACAGACGTAGATGGTGACTATTTAGACCTTGAATACGGTATACCGGAAGAGGACTTGCAGGGAATAAGCAATTCTGACCTGCCACAGAGGAGATTCAGCCTCATTTTTCCTGGTAAGAAAAAAAGGTTTTTCAAACAAAATTTACCCTTTAAAACGAGACGTATTCATGATTCGAAATCGTAGAATTACCGAAAAAAAATTAAAAACGGCGGGAAAAACAAATGGAAATATTTGACACGAGATGTCATAGTAAAACTTGTTTGAATCATAAATTTTAAACGTTAAGTGAGTTCTGTTGTTCCGGAGAATATCTATATATTAATACGTGAAGCAAAAACTTTGTATCCATTTTTACGAAAATTGCGCGGACGGAGGAGTATAAAATTTTCCACACTTATAGAGAATATAGAGAAGAAGTGCACAATGCTAATAATTTTTTTTAAATAATGCATAAAAGATACATTAAATCAATAAAGAAAACATTGCACACACTACCATGTATTTGACGCACACACGCATTCATACTATTTATTTATTGTCAAACTTTTGTTCTTGGCGTCTGTTGTCAAATTGAGATTAAATTAAATATTGTTTGCCTTTGTTAATATTTTTTATAGTGTAGTCTTGTCTTGGTGAAATTTGTGATTATAGAAGTATATAATACAATCATAATAGTGTACAAACTTACAGTTCCAATTAATTATAGTCGAATTTCGACTACTGCGGGACCTCTAGTATACTTAAGTTGTTCTTATGTTCTTCTTCAAAATTCATACTAATATTAAAAATGTAAAAGTGTTTTATCTTGTTTCACGTCGAAACGAAACAACGGATTGGCGTGATTTTTTTAAAGTGATAGTTCTGGCTACTTTTTTGTGATAGCTGATCTATGCATATAAATAAAATTAGAGTCTCTTTGTAATACTGAAATAACTGCTTTTTACTACATGCATATGAATATATATACGGTACATACACCAAAATAATCTTTTTTACAATTTTTGTCTATCTGTCAGTCTGTCTGTTTGTTCCGGCTAATCTCTGGAACGGCTGGACCGATTTTGACGGGACTTTCACTGATAGGTAGCTGATGATATAAGGAGTAACTTGGCTACTTTTTTTAGACTAGTTTCGCCCCGCGGCTTCACCTGCGGTACGACAATAACCGCGGGTAAAATCGCAGGACTCAGCTATCAATAATAAAATTTAATGTTTCTGAGGCGAAGCGAGGGCGGGTCGCTCAGTAATATATAAAATAAACATATTTGTTAAAGGTATTCGTTTGCCATCAATCGTATTAAATAACTATGTTAAAAAAAATCTCAATTAAATACAACTTTGGTAGTACTCAAAATAGGCAACGAAAAATCAGTTATGTACCATTTACTCCTCCACTTGTGAACCGTGTTATGTTTAGTTTATTAGATAAATATGTTTCTTTAGTGTGATACATATTTCTGTATTTACGAACTTTTTTTTTTCACTCTTACAAGAAATGCCATGACCTATATACTTATATTATACGAAAGTGAAAATGTTAATAGTACATGAAATGAATCTATAATAAATTTTGAGATATCAGTGATTCCGGTCGGATTTCGATCATTTCGCGAACGTTAGGGGAAATAAATACACCAAGAACATTTTGAACTATGTCCAAATGTAAAATTTTACAATTTTATTAATCAACGTTATCCGTAGCTCCATTCACGCACAGGTAGAAAAAAGCTTTTTGTCTTGGTTTCTATTTTAATTTTTGTAGATCGTAGTCAAATATCAACGACAACTATTCACTGAGTTTCTCGCTGGATCTTCTCAGTCGGTCGCGATTCTAATCGGGTGGTAGAATTCTGCGAAGCACAGTAAATGCCATGACTTATCTTGAGACATGAGGTCGCAGATTCAATCGGATTGTACAGCAACTATACCCTTCAACCCTTTACTGCTCCGCAGAAATAGACAGAGTCGGTGGTTCAGGCTAACAACAGGCCTTACCAGCAATAACACAAGATCATTTTATTTGAAGTCGTCGTGGCCTAAAGGATAAGACGTCCGGTGCATTCGTATCTAGCGATGCAACGGTGTTCGAATCCCGCAGGCGGGTACCAATTTTTCTAATGAAATACGTACTTAAGAAATGTTCACGATTGACTTACACGATGAAGGAATAACATCGTATAATAAAAATCAAATCTGAAAATATTAAAATCAAATCAGAACTCAAATCTAAAAATCCAAAATTTGCGTAATTTTACTGGTGGTAGCACCTCTTCTGAGTCCGCACGGGTAGGTACCACCACCCTGCCTATTTCAGCCGTGAACCTGTAATGCGTTTCGATTTGAAGGGTGGGGCAGCCGTTGTAACTATGTATACTGAGATCTTAGAACTTATATCTCAAGGTGGGTGGCGCATTTACGTCATAGATGTCTATGGGCTCCACTAACCACTTAAACCAGATGGGCTGTGAGCTCGTCCACCCATCTAAGATTTTTTATTTATATTTTATTCGTCAAAATTTTTCTTTTATATTATTATCATGATATAATATTGTCTACGTTGTTTATGTGATTATATATATATAATATACCGTGTATGTGTTTGTATATTGTATAAAGTAGTTTGGTTATTTTCACATTAAGTTATGCACCTACCACAGGATTCTCTACACCACCCTTGGTTGACTGGTAGAGAATGCCTCAAGCATTAAGTCCGCCATTGTACTTCTGTGCATTAAGTTAAATATAAAAAAAAAAATATGTATTCCGTTTTTTTTACACTGCCATATTCATTCATCGCGTACTTCGATCAACAATAGTAACTCGCGTATTTTACATTTTTTATCGAAATACCTATTGATTTCAGGTACGAAATGGTGCGGGGCTGGTAACGTGGCAGACGACTACGAAGACCTAGGATCCGAACGGGAGACAGACATGTGTTGCCGGGATCACGACAACTGTCCTGACCTCATACTGGCGGGAGAAACCAAGAATAACCTGACCAACTCAGCTTTCTACACCAGGCAAGTTGAGTTTAGATTTCAATGGCCACCCTAGATATTCGTAGATTGTAAAATTAGCTCAGAAACTTCACATAACACGTCTGAACATAACTATCTTCTTCTTCTATATCTATCTTATTCTTCTTCTTCTATATCTATAAAAATGAATTATACAGTTCGTTAGTTTCGCTAAAACTCGAGAACGGCTGGACCGATTTGAATAATTTTGGTCTTGAATTATTTGTGAAAGTCCAGAGAAGGTTTAAAAAGCAGATAAATATAAAAATGCTCTAAAAATAACAATTTTGTTTTTCCTTTGATGTGTCCCCCGTCGGACGGATTCCTTTTGTTTGTTTTAAGTTTATTTTATAAAAAAGCTTAGGTCTTTTATTTATCGATTGAGGCACTACGAAGTCTGCCGGGTCAGCTAGTAATTAAAATATTACGCTATTGAAGACCAAAAATAATTAATGCATAACGACTAGCCACATGTGACATCATACTTAGTGATTCTTTTTAAATGTATAAGTTTAAAATAATTACAATCAATAAAATTTGTTTAGCAACACAAATTAAAAGAAATAATTCACAAAAATTGATCGGACCGAAATTGATTGATTAATTTATTTAAAATCTCTTCTAATTTTATCTTATTGTTTCATATTATTATTGTTTTGTTGCCCGATCTCAGAGATTTCACACAGAAAATGCTTTCATATCTATAATTACTGGTGGTAGGACCTCTTGTGAGTCCGTACGGGTAGGTACCACCGCCCCGCCTATTTCTGCCGTGAAGCAGTAATACGTTTCGGTTTGAAGGGTGGGGCAGCTGTTGTGACTATACTGAGACCTTAGAACTATATCTCAAGGTGTGTGGCGCATTTACGTTGTAGATGTCTATGGGCTCCAGTAACCACTTAACACCAGGTGGGCTGTGAGCTCGTCCACACATCTCAGCAAAAAAATAAAATAAAAAAAAATTAAGAAAGAAAAACATAATTTGTTTTTAGGAAACTATTTAAATTTTTATTAATAATACATAATTAACTCTATATTAAGTATATTTTCTTTAATGCAAAGAGTTTTCTCTTCGAAATCCAACAACTTAATAGGCTGCAGATACATGTAAGGATTTCGCACTCCTTAAAATAAATTTAATTACGTTATTTTTCTGTAAATGTAAACCTTTCGTCTTAAATAAACATTTTAATCCGCAGGTTAAGTTGCGAATGCGATGAAGGGTTTCGAAAATGTCTCCACGATGCGAACAGCACCACAGCCAAACGCATCGGAGTTATTTATTTCAATGCACTGGGGACAAAATGCTACCGGAAGGATTATCCGATTGTGAAATGCACAATGCGAGGAGGGTAAGTCTAAAAACTAATGTCACATATGAGTCGACTATTATCAAAGCCGGCAATGTGACTTTTGGACAATTATTGGTAAATCAGAAAAACGAATTATTGACTTTGTATTCCATTGGCAGTCACAAAACTCTTCTGAACGACATCTTAGATAAATAAAAGGTTAAGTATTAACCTTTATTTAATGCAGGTTTTTTGAACCGTATTCTTTGAAGGAGACGATTGATATTCAAATCAATCTGTATTGCCATATCAATAACATTTTTTTGTCCAAATGCACAGATTGCCACCTTTGATAATAGACGACTCATATATGGTATTTAAAAATTTAACACATCATGTTTCTTATTTATGTGTAAAGAAGCATTTTTTTTTAATAATTATTATTATATTATAATATATTATGTATTAATTGTATGTATATTTACGGATATATGTATGCATGTGTGTATGTGTACATATATGTATATGTATGTCACTGGATTGGTAAACCGCGCGTAGTTCGTTTCCAAATGATTCTTGTCCACCTGATGGTTGTCTGGAAGAGATCGCTCTTAGCGATAAGACCGCCAATTGTACTTTTTTGTATTTAATGTATCGCACTGTTTATTTCTTTTTTGGTGTACAATAAAGAATACTTTCTCTCTCTCTCTCTCAAGTTTCTCGCCGGATCTTTTCAGTGGGTAGCTATACCGATCCAGTGGTAGCGAAGAACTGATCTAGCTAGCTCTTGTTAGTAATTCTCTCAGTTTGAGCCCTGTGAGCTCACTTAGCAGGAAAAGCCCTAAGACGCGAAGCTACTACTACCGGTGATTTGGTAGAGAAAAAAAAGCTTGAAAATCTCCATAATTTATCTGAAGTTATACTTCTTTTGACGCCTTCTGGAAAGAGTGTATTTTTAGCACGTGATGCTTAGTATGACGATATAGCGATCAAATTAAGCACACTTCAAAAATTGTGCCTCAAGATTACAGGAGATTTCAAGCAAAATCTCCAAATGTTAACATAAAATAATAAGTTTTTTTTTTTATTGCTTAGATGGGTGGACGAGCCCACAATCCACCTGGTGTCGAGTGGTTACTGGAGCCCATAGACATCTACAACGTAAATGCGCGGGTGGCGCAAAAACTCTAAATTATACGATACTATTGAAATTTTGTAAAATGAAAACCTACTTAATTTTATTAAACCGAAAATGTATTTTTCATTTCACGTTACAGTTGGTTCAAGAGGAAATGTTTACGATACGACGTCGATATGAATGAGGATCAGATATACCAATGGTTCGACGTGAATAACTATTGATAGCCGATGATGAATCAATAGTAATAGAACTAATAGAAGAAGAAATCATTAATAATTTATAAATGAACTGGGAACAAAACACGCACGATCATCCGGCCTCAAATTAGGACTACCCGTGTTATGGATACCAGAGACTGACATACATACTTATATACACTTAAATATATACATACATAGATAATAAAAACTCAGAAAAAGAGTAAACAAACCTGTTCATCACACGAATGTTTGCCTGATGTGGGAATCGAACCCAGGACCCTCGGCACAAAAGTCAGACGCGCTAATTAATGCACCATCGAGTCGATCGAAGTGTTAAAATGAAACAAAACGCCACCTTCTTTATTAACATCCCAAAGATCTTCCCTGCAGGATAAAGACTTCCTCCCAAGATCGCCCTAAAATACTGCGCTACCCGCCCAATGGAGCGGGTCTCCCACTCTGTGACGTCACGTACGCAGCCCCCACTAAACCACTTATTACCCATGTGATATTCTAATTAAGAAATACGATATGTTTAACTCACTATTCCGATAGTACAGTGCTATTTTCTGATATAATTGTATTTTCAAGTTTGTTATTAAATTTTGGCGATATTACTTTGAAGTTTTTTTTTTAAATGTCCTACGTATTAAATTATGTGCTTTTAAGGAAATAAATTTGAAATAAATCTATCTATTGTTTGAAATACTTTTTTAATCAGTATTCCCAATCACCTCAGAGGTCTATCGTGGGGTTTTTGCGTTGGACTCCAAGAAGTAACGGATTGAAGCCAGTGTTAGTTTCGTAAGTTTGATCCGGTAAACTGATCTATGGATTTACACACATTTAAGGTTCCACAAGTGACTGCTTAAGCTATGTGTTGTTTAAGTTCTATGATGTTTACAAAAATAGCTTCACGATCCTCAAAATTGCTATAACTTTTATTGTAGGCGTTAAGTAATCAAAATGGATACGAAAGTACGGAAAGACTAAATGAACCTCTTTACTTGTTTCTTTCTTATTTATTTATTATGTATCTGTTTTTACTTATTTCACGAGGGCTTCTTCAATTATATCCCTTCTTATTTCCCATTAAAATCATTACTCACAACAATTTTGATCGTTAATGGAAATTTCAGGTTTCATATCACTATACATTACGGACAAACATTTAAATCAGTTTTAAGGTATGAAAAATAAAAGTCAAATTTATTGCATAGATAGGTGGACGCGCTCACAGCCCACTTGGTGTTAAGTGGTTATCGGAACCCATAAACGTCTACAACGTAAATGCGCCACCCACTTTGAGATATGAGTTCTAAGGTCTCAGTATAGTACAAACACTGCCCCACTCTTCAAGCCGAAACGCATTACTGCTTCACGGCAGAAATAGGCGGTGGGGTGGGACCTAAGTACCTGTGCGGACTCACAAGAGGTCCTACCGCCAGTAAAAATTCTTACAATTCTTACAAATGCTCGTCCAAGTTCGATAACTTTATGCCTTAATATTGGGGCTTATTGAAAAAATTTATCATTTGTATTAAAATACTAGCTGTATCCGTCCGCTTCGCTGGGCATTAAAAATTAACATTATTATTTATTGTCATTATTATTAGGGAGTCCAACACTCATATAAATATTAGCCTATCCATTAAGTACATTTATTTTCTACACGGATACCAAGTTTCAAGTAAATCGGATGCATGGTTCAGTAGTTATAACGGAACATCCGTAAAAATCACTGTAAATTTATATTTATACATTAGTATAGCTGATTATGTGTGCAACGACAAGCAAAAGTGCTGTTATCAGAATTTAAATAAATCAAACCAATTAATTTTTATTTAATTGCTATTTATTTTGATATCACTTGAGCTATAAATGTACATTAGAGGTAATTGTGATTAATCCACACTAAAAAATAATAATCTATAACCCATATTTTACGTAATACTACAAACTCTTAAATAAATTACAGACTATAGGAACAATGGAATCACATTAATGTTATAATACTATGGGCTGCATCCGAGAAGTGTTCAGTGTATCCAGGTCATCAGCTGGCATAGTTCCTGACGTCGAACCACTGGTAGATCTGTTCGCTCCTCGTGTCGTAATCATACTCCAAACATTTCTTTCTGAACAATCTGTAACAGTTAAGCAATAGTTTAGAGATGCCATCAGTATTATCTTAGGACGACCTTGAACACGGTATCCCGTCGATAGTACTTCAGTTAGATTCAATACTGACCCTCCGTAAGTGTTGCAGCCTACGACAGGGTAGTCTCGTCTGTAGCACTTGGTGCCGAGCGCGTTGAAGTATATCTTGCCGATTCTGCGCGACGTCTTCGTGTTAGCTTTGTTCAGACACAGCCGGAATGCCTCGTCACATTTACAGTTCAACCTGGAAAGAAGATGATAGCTATATTATGATACTTCTAAAAGAACTACTGCCTTATTGAAGAACAAATCTTATTGAATTTATAGTACAATATTCTGTTTATTGCGTTTTCTTCAAATGTCCGTGTAGTAAGTACCTGGTGTAGAAGGCGTCGTTGGTGAGGCCGTGCTTGGTCTCCCCGGCGAGTATGAGATCAGTGCAGTGGTCGTGCTCCCGACAGCACATGTCAGTCTCGCGCGCTGAGCCCAAGTCCTCGTAGTTCTTCGCTATGTCCCCTTTACCGCACCATTTTGTACCTGATAATAATAAAGACTATATTTTTAATTTACTGATACTTTTTACGAACAGTTAGTCTGTAGTTAATACGCAGAAAATAGTTATGATCAACTAGTAAATAAACTCTTACCAGGAAAGATGAAGTCGAACTTCTTCCTTGCTATTGTTTCACTTTGAATATCTAGTACGTCTTTATCGATATTAACAGCAGAGTCGTCAGTAAACCAGCTGCCCGTCACTCCGTTAATATACAAAACGATTATTATAATGAAAACACAGGAACAAGCGGCCATTTTGAACATCTTTGATTTGATTTTTTAATTAATTCAAACTGTGACTTTTCGAACCGAAGCCTTTGTAAGACTGAATAATTCGAGTGATCGTGTTAGTCTTTATATTGTTTAATTGTTTCCTTGAACATGACGTAGTGATCTCCGTCGTAAGTTGGGACAAGCCGGGAAGCTCACAGTCTTCTAAAGTAATTACCTACAATAACACTACGCAAATAAACATGTGCACAATATTACGTTCGTATTTGGGTTCTTTCAAAAGATGCCTGTTATTGAGGTGTTAGGCGTGATCAAAACAACACGATGCGGGCTGACGTTGGCACTGACTGCGTAGCTCTTGGATTCGCAAACAGGAAAGAATATTAGGTACCACTACCGACTTAAATTACAAAATAAAACAAATGTACTACCACGGAGTGCTGATCTGGAGTTATTTTATTCTCCTTGTAGGGGGCGCTAACAAAAGGCTTTCCTAATGGTTAATATCCACAGCCAAACCACGCTCCACCGTAGGGAACTCTCCTCAAAGCTTGTTTGAAGAAGAACATATTGTCATATCGTCTGGAAAACACTGTGGAGGGGAGTTCCTTCCGAAGCCACATGGTGGATTGATATACTCTGCTCCGACCATTTCCTGAGAGCAGAGACAGCCTTCATTGAGCAGGACTTCATGCTTTTTTTTGTTTTTTTTTATTTTTTTTATTGCCTTTGTAGGCAGACTAGCATACGGCCCACCTGATGGTGAGTGGTTACCGTCGTCCATGAACTTCAGCAATGCCAAGGGCAGAGCCAAGCCGCTGCCTACCGCTTAATACTCTCCACAAGCCTCGTTTGAAGAAGGACATGTCATAGCGCTCGGGAAGCACCGTGGAGGGAAGCTCATTTCATAGCCGGATAGTACGTGGCAAAAAAGATCTCTGGAAACGCACTGTGGATGACCGCAGTGGCTCCAGGTAGTATGTTTTTTTTTTTTTTTTTTTTTTTCCTACCTATGCTGATAGCCTTGAGAGGCTATTTCAGCTTCGCCCTAACGTTAGTAGGTGAGCTCGCGGGGCTCAACCGGAGAGTTGTTAACACTGACCCTAGCAAGAGCAGTGCTTCGCAGAATCTACCACCGGATCGGAAACGCGACCCACTGAGAAGATCCGGCGAGAAACTCAGTGGGCAAGGTAGTATGGATGAACTCTACTCCGGTGGCGGGCGGTGCGATGGTAAAAACGAGACGTTGGTATCATCTCGAACAATTCCTCAGAGCACTCCCCATGGAACATGCGGTACAAAATACAGAGGGAAGCGAAGTCCCTCCGCAGACATTTCATCACTGGTGGTAGGATCTCTTGTGAGTCCGCGCGGGTAGGTACCACCACCCCGCCTATTTCCGCCGTGAAGCAGTAATGCGTTTCGGTTCGAAGGGTGGNCCTATTTCCGCCGTGAAGCAGTAATGCGTTTCGGTTCGAAGGGTGGGGTAGCCGTTGTAACTATACTGAGATCTTAGAACTTATATCTCGAGGTGGGTGGCGCATTTACGTTGTAGATGTCTATGGGCTCCAGTAACCACTTAACACCAGGTGGGCTGTGAGCTCGTCCATCCATCTAAGCAATAAAAAAAAATAAAAAAAAAAGACCCAATGGCTCCAAAGGATCCGTGAGAATGGGATTATCGACAATCCGAACTGCAAGGCTGGACTTGTGCTTGTTGAACCCCTATGTGGTTTTGAATTGTGAAAGATATGTTTATCCTTATAAAAATAGGCAAAGATAAAACAGTCAAATATCATTTTCTTCTCTGGTTCTCAACCGAATTCTTGTATTTTTTTGGTCACGAACGATATTTGGTTGTTATCAATAATTTTTTTTTTCGTTTTCAAATTGTCTATAACAAAACAGTAGGGAAAACGTATTGCATCAAATAAATCTAAATATTGAGGTGTCCTGATTAGGCGTAGAAACTCTAATTTCACGTTTACTTAAACCTAGGCCTTACGACAGCATTAAGTTGAAAGAATAAAAAAATTTCAAAGTTCTTATAGAGTCAGTAAAAAATGTTCTCGGCAACAATAAAAGGTACTTTATTAATAAAGTTTTTTGATAAACAAACCTAATCTATTTATTGATAAGAAAAATATCTATTTATTAATTTATAAGTAGTGTTTTTTCACGACAAATTATAACAGATAATATATTACAATACATTATCAGATCACTTCGGTTCACTTATTATTTAAGTAAAAAATTTAAATAATTAAGGATTTAGTTACAACACTAACTTGTACTTCAATAACAAACAATTGAGCAGACAAATTCAATGGAAGCTTTGCATGGTTTTAGAGATAGAAATGGTACCTAATCCTCGTTAAACAATTCAGGGTGATTTTTAAATATTTTTTTATGCAAGAATGTATGTGTATTGAACTAAAGCGCCGTATATGGCTCGAGAGAAGCAGTTTGCCGACCCCTGACCTAGGCCATAAAATTTTGGTAGATCATTGCCTGAGAGTTAATGACCTATCTATTACTGTTTTTTCTTTCTGAATACGATAACTTAAACAGAATATTTACTTCAATGAAATTCATAAACACGTGGGAGAATTAGTCTTGTTTTTCGATTCTTCCTGTCGGGGAAAATCTAAGAAATATGAAAATCTAAAAAAATTTTATTATCGAGGAAACATCGGTCGGTAAATGACTGTAACTACGCTAATAACAAACAGTGGCCAAGTATTAAAATTTATGTAATGTAATACGTATTGTTATTTAAATATTAATAGTTTTCCCTTTGTGGCTTATCCCGACGATGACGGCTCATTGACAACGTTTGTCTGTCGTCACGCTCAAGGAAACAACGAGATGTATCAATGAAGGTAAACAATTAAATAGTATATAAGAGATTTTCAATTACTCCAATCATTCAGTAAGCATCTGCTATAAACGCGAGCTATTAAAAATTAATAACATATCCTTAACACGATTGTTTCAAACAAAAAGCCGTTGAAATGTTCAAGATGGTCGCGTGTTGGAGTTGTTTCATTGTTCTGATCGCCTTGTACGTTAACAGAGTAACAGGCAGCTGGTTTGCGAACGACTCTGCTGTTAGTATCGATAAAGACGTACTAGATATTCAAAGTGAAACATTAGCAAGGAAGAAGTTCGACTTCATCTTTCCTGGTAAGAGTTTATTTACTAGTTGATCATAATTATTTTCTGCGTATCGACTATCAATCAATACTTAGGTCCATCGAAAAAGTATCAGAAAACTAAAAATATATTCTTTATTATTTTCAGGTACAAAATGGTGCGGTAAGGGGGACGTAGCGAAGAACTACGAGGACCTGGGCTCAGCGCGCGAGACTGACATGTGCTGTCGGGAGCACGACCACTGCACTGACCTCATACTCGCCGGGGAGACCAAGCACGGCCTCACCAACGACGCCTTCTACACCAGGTACTACACGGACATTTGAACAAAATGAAATAAACAAATATTGTACAATAAATATTTAAGATAAGATTTGTGCTTCAATAACATAGTAGTTTTTATAGAAGTATCATCGTATAGCTATCATCTTTCTTCCAGGTTGAACTGTAAATGTGACGAGGCATTCCGGCTGTGTCTGAACAAAGCTAACACGAAGACGTCGCGCAGAATCGGCAAGATATACTTCAACGCGCTCGGCACCAAGTGCTACAGACGAGACTACCCTGTCGTAGGCTGCAACACTTACGGAGGGTCAGTACTGAATCTAACTAAAGTACCATCGACAGGATACCGTGTACAAGGTCGTCCTAAGATAATACTGATCGCATCTCTAAACTATGGCTTAACTGTTACAGATTGTTCAGAAAGAAATGTTTGGAGTACGATTACGACACGAGGAGCGAACAGATCTACCAGTGGTTCGACGTCAGGAACTACGCCAACTGATGACCTGGACACACTGAACACCTTCCCGGACGCAGCCCATAGTTATTATAATATTAATGTGATACCATTGTTCCTATAGTCTGTAATTTATTTAAGAGTTATAGTATTACGTAAAATTCGAGTTATAGATTATTATTTTTTAGTGTGGTTTAATCATAATTAATGATTACACAATTAATATATTATAATGTACATTTATAACTGAAGTGACATCAAAATAAATATGTAGAAATAAATTGATTGGCTTAATTCATTTCAAATTCTGATAACAGTACTTGTGCTTGAATCGTTGCACATAAAATGGAAATGATTCGACTTTAATGTCAAAAGTAAGGATAGTGTAGTGTTATAGAGTAACACTTCCGGCCACACATAATATTATTATGTGAGCCATTATTTACGAACTAGTTCAGGTACATCCTAATGATTAGGCAATATATAGAACTTATTATTGTTTTATCAGTAATTTTATAATCAAGTAAATAGTTGATTCATATTTCTTACTTATTCTTACATATTTCTTACTTATATATTTTATGGGCGCCTTCTGCTTGACAGCTTCCGGCGAAATAAACCTTCAATGTTATTTATGTTATATAATTCTATATTATTAAATAATAATTGTACGTAAATAATCAACAGAATAATTAAGATAAACAATATTTAATATTACCTATTAAGTTTGAATTAAAATAGCTCAAGATAGTTGTAAAAATACCGACCGTAATTTTTTCAAAGAGCTCCGATATTAAGACATAAAATTATCGAATTTGGAAGCGCGTTTTTGTAACGAGACGTTTATTGTCTTTATTGTTGTATAATAATGAGATTATATAATGAAAATTGTTAGTACCATCTTCATGAGAATTGTGGTTGTTGTTTTGGTGGTTAATGTTGTTTGAAGTGATAGTGGCTTGAAGGATAAGACGCTCGGTGCATTCGTATCGATCGTAATAAAAATCAAACCCATAAAAATTCTTATTTGCGTAGAGCATCTTGTGCATGGGTAGATATCACTACCCTTCCTTTTTCTACCGTAAAGCAGTAATACATTTTGATTTGTTTTGTGATTGATTTTGAAGGGTCCTTGGGCTGTAAAAACGGAAACGTAGAACTGATGTCTTAAAATGGGTGGCATTTACGTTGTTGATGCCTACGGGCTTCAGTGACCGCTAAACTCCAGGTAAGCCCTGAGCTCGTCTACATATAATAGTAATGAAAAAAAAATCTAATGAAGAGGTTAGTAAGAGATTCTAAAATTTTTACATATATAGTTAAAATATACATAACATAAACATATATTTTAACTAAGTTTGAAGTTCCGCTATCTTCATTATTTAGATTTTGTTTACGTCTTCTATGTTCCGATAGCACAATTCCAAAATACCATTTTAATAACTTGGTCGATACAAATAAAGACTGGATTATTTTCCCGACAAATAATGTATTATACGCTAAGATTTTTCAATGTAATGTAATAAATAATTCGTTTTACTTAGAGCTTTTACAGTCTAGCAGTCGCGCTTAAACATATAATTACTCGTATTTTTATCGGGTAAATATTGAAAAAAATATACAAATGAAATGGGAACTTCTTAGGTATAGACCTATTATTATTTAATTTTGTATCAGATTTTATTATTATTCCTTTTTCGAAGACACGCTAAATTTCCGTACCACGAATACTCTAACGCAAGCATATGGAATATGTACTCTACATCACGACTAAACGAGTAAGTGGACTCCTTCGCACCCTGCAGTCTTGGTCATCTTGTCCTCGTCGCATGTAGTGCAACCGTGGAACATAACACAGGAGAAAATCCACGTAGCCTCTAATTCTGGTGTACGTACGGTGAGCTCGTGTCTTCCTCTATTTAATTAGAAAAAAGTGGATTCAAGTAAACTGAGATTAAAAGAAACGGAGCTACCAGCTAAGTCCGCCTGTGACCTCGATCAATACAGTTCGATTAAATCTTCAACTGAATCAATCATAAATAAGAAGCAAAATGACAGGAATAACAATGTCTTATTGTTAACACGACGACGATAAACGAGGAACTTTAATTTTATTGCATAAATAGGTTAGAGGTATCTTGAGGTGGCCAAAAAAATGAATAAATGAGTTTACTTCTTCAAATACTCATTATATTATTTTTAATTATTTTACAAAATAGGATTGACATGCCCGTCCAACTTTTTTCTTCGTGTTATAATTTTTTTTTTTTTTCACATTTGGTGCCACTATTGCCTTTCCTGTTTTGTGATTGGTTCGTACGATATGACGTCATATTTGGCCAATCACAGTCATCAATGTATGACGCGACGTTGATTCGTTAACACACCACTTTCCATCCACACTATCTGGAACCGCTGCGTTCATATACAGTGCGTTTCCAGAGATCTTTTGTGCCTCGTACCACTCTGGAACGATTTTCTCCTCCACGGTGTTTCCCGAGCGCTATGACAGATCCTTCTTCAAACAAAGACTGCGGAAAGTATCCAGTGGGAGGCGTCGACTTGGCTGTACCCCTGGCATTGCTGACGACAGGTAGTACGCTCGTCTGCCTACAAAGGCAATAAAAAAAACTTGTTGTTAAGTAGTCACTGGTGGACATCAATAATGTCAATGCCAACGCCGACCATCTTGAAATATGACTTCTAAGTCTCACTGTATACAGTATAAAGGTTGCCCCGACCCTTCAAACCGAAGTGCATTACTGCTTCACCGCAGAAATAGGCAGGACGGTGGTACCCACCCGTACGGGCTCACACAACCCTACCACCACGGGACCTTACCACGCAAATTATACTTTTTGCGGGTTTTATTTTTACGTTATTCCTTCATCGTGGACGTCTATCGTGAACATTCGTGAAGCACATATTTCATCAGAAATATTGGTACCTGCCAGCGGGTTTCGTATTATCTATATCTATCTATGGTGTTGCGACGGTAACCACACACCATCAGGTGGGCCATATTCTCGTCTGCCTACAAGGGCAATAAAAAATCCAATAAACATCCCAAGAATTCGCAAAACCAAAGGAATTTCTAAGTTATCCTTATTTTTGAGATTAAAGTTGAGTCATTTCCATATTACGAGTATGTGCACCGATTTAAGCACAAGCGCTGTTATAAATATTAAATTGTATATATATAAATAAAATGAAATTAATTTAAATTATATTACTTTAAAATAAGTTAAAAAACTTATTTTCTTCCATTTATTTTATTGGGTTATCACTTAAATTATAAATGTACATTCAAGGTAATTGTGATTGATCCACATTTACAAGAAAACTTTATCTATAATACCCGTCTTTTACGTACTACTATATCTCTTAAATAAATTACAGACTATAGGAACAATGGTATCACATTAATATTATAATACTATGGGCTGCATCCGGAAAGGTGCTCAGTGTGTCCAGGTCATCAGTTGGCGTAGTTCTTGACGTCGAACCACTGGTGGATCTGTTCGCCCCTTGTGTCGTAATCGTACTCTAAGCATTTCTTTCTGAATAATCTGTAACAGTTAAGCAATAGTTTAGAGATGCGATCAGTATTATCTTAGGACGACCTTGAACACGGTATCCTGTCGATGGTACTTCAGTTAGATTCAGTACTGACCCTCCGTAAGTGTTGCAGCCTACGACAGGGTAGTCTCGTCTGTAGCACTTGGTGCCGAGCGCGTTGAAGTATATCTTGCCGATTCTGCGCGACGTCTTCGTGTTAGCTTTGTTCAGACACAGCCGGAATGCCTCGTCACATTTACAGTTTAACCTGGAAGAAAGATGATAGCTATATGATGATACTTCTAAAAGAACTACTATGTTATTGAAGCACAAATCTTATCTTAAATATTTATTGTACAATATTTGTTTATTTCATTTTCGTCAAAGGTCCGTGTAGTACCTGGTGTAGAAGGCGTCGTTGGTGAGGCCGTGCTTGGTCTCCCCGGCGAGTATGAGGTCAGTGCAGTGGTCGTGCTCCCGACAGCACATGTCAGTCTCGCGCGCTGAGCCCAGGTCCTCGTAGTTCTTCGCTATGTCCCCTTTACCGCACCATTTTGTACCTTTAGAAATTAAAATACATTTTTTTCAATTTATTAATTATTTTTAGCTAGAATTAAGTGTTGATTAGACAAACAGCTAGTTAGTTGTCGATACGCAGAAATGAATTATGATCAACTAGTAAATAAACTCTTACCAGGAAAGATGAAGTCGAACTTCTTCCTTGCTATTGATTCACTTTGAATATCTAGTACGTCTTCATCGATATTAATAGCAGAGTCGTCCGCGAACCAGCTGCCGGGCACTCCGTTAATGTACAATGTGATCATTAAAATGAAACAACAAAAACAAGCGGCCATTTTGGACATTACAACAACTTTTTTCTATAGAAAATAAGCACTTATATAACTATTTCATAAATTGGTGCTGCTCGTATTGAAGTCTTTTTAATACTGAACGATTAATTATTTAATATTTGCCTTTATATATTATTTAACTGTTTCTTCACAGTTTCCTGTATTGTGACGTGATGTCAGTAAATCGGGACAACGCGCGAAGGGAAACATTGACCTACATCGCTATTATTTACAACAATAATACGTCATTTACTTTTACAAAATCACAGACGTAAGAAGACTACGCGTTGTTAAATTTTGTTTATTGCATTCTTACGTAAATTAGGTTTCCCTTGGGGAACGTACGAAAATTAATTTGATTTTAATGAGAAATAAACTACAAACATATAGCTTATGAGTTAACGTAAACGCACCCATTACCGCCAGTTTAAGCTAGGTTCAGATTGATAGGCAAAAAATAAGCAGTTGTTCAATCACTGGCTTTATCTTTTTTTTGACGATTCCGAAGATAACTCTTTTTTAATGCAATAAAGGGACAACTAGCAAAAATACATTTAAAAAAGTAAAAAATAAAAATTGATGGGAAGAGCCATGTCCCTATTACCGATCCAATGCATGGGGTGTGTTCCTATTAGCGTTTTTTTGGCACTTATTACCGACCGCTAAAGCAACAGAATTAGTCATGTTAAATAAAAATTATTGTGTCAGTTTAATTATTGATATGAAGCAACAGTACTTTAATTATTAAGTCACAATTCTCTTAATAATCTCTTAAAAGTAATCTAAACGTAATTAATACTGATGACAATTTTTGGGCATGCGCTTGTAGGCGTAAAAAACCACAGGAGGTGCGATTTCATAATCAGCAGAAACAATACATCCAGTTAAACATTCTCTTTCATCATTGAAGACTCGAGTCTCCAATACGATTCGAGTCTCAATACCTCTATGGTGCTTCATTCTACGATGACTCATTTTGTCTTGGGACACAAAAATAATTCAGTTTCGTCGCAATTAAAACTTCTAGCAGAATTGTTAATTTTATTCAAAATATTGATACACATCAATCAGTAAACCATGACCTTATGTTTCTTCTTTCACTTCATTTTTATATGTTGGCAAATTTTGGACAACTCTTTTTTGAAATTGCGGGATGGGTTTGATCAAATTTTGAAGCCAGTGTCTTCCTGTTACTCCGCCTTTAAATGGGTGTTGGAGATTTAATGTTTTCACTAATTTTGACACCGTCTCCAATAACTGCTTTTTTTACAGGAAAATATAATCTTCCCAAATAGTGAATTCAGTCTATTAATTGGCGTTCTTCATCCTTAATGAAAACTCCACAATTTTCTTCAGTATACTTGTGATCTTTCTTGTTCCGAAGAGTTGTTCTAGGAATCTGAAATCTCTTCGAGGCTTCATATACATTTATTTGCTTCATTATTAATGGCCATCAATCAAGTTGACTAGCTATAGGTATATTGTTGACGTCTTGGTGGTTCCATGTTTCTGAAACAAATCTATCTATCGAGTCGAATATGTGCAATAAGTAAATAATATTTTTAAATACACTCAAGTGGAAGTCAATAGGTGATTTTTAATATAGTTTAGTTTTTTATTCAATAATGAATTGCTGTTTTATTTTATTTTTTGTTATATATTTTAAATATTTATTAGGCGATAATGTTATCTTAGTTACATTATATTTACTCAGTACTAAAAATTAATAAAATATATTAACACACTATTAACTTACACAGTTAGGCATACAGACGAAAGGACTATAACTTGAAAGAAAAAACTATATATTGTGTTCCTTTTTGACTACAGGACATTTAAAGCTGCAAAAGTACAGGTAGATCGGTATTAGGTTATATTAAAGGACAAAGTAAAACATTACCGACAAATAAAAATGTTTTTTTTTTATTGCCTTTGTAGGCAGACGACCATACGGCCCACCTGATGGTGAGTGGTTACAGTCGCCCATGGACTTCAGCAATGCCAGGGGCAGAGCCAAGCCAATGTGTATGTAATGTGTAAACATATTGCGTATTAGTATATTTGTGAGATTATCTAGCTGCATTAGCTATGAATATTTGACGATAATGATATTTTAACTAAGAAAATACAATATTTGTAAATCAATTATTAATTATTTTTTTGTAATGTGCTTCGTACATTTACAAAAAAAAAAACTTAAGAAAATTACTGATTTTCACAACTATCTGTACTTCTAATTATATGGCGTTAATAGCTCATATACAACTTGACATACTAACCAATCAAATTAGTATATCAAATTATTTATTAATTCATATATCTTAATGGAAAACATAGTAACAAACATATTCATCTAAAACAAAATAGCAACATGAGCCGGTAATAGGAATAAAATTGTGATAAATGTTCCTATTATCGCCACTTTTAAATATTGAATTTTAGACAATGGAAATTACTTGTTATTTGTGTTCATTAAAATATTAAGAAGACATAAAAAAATATTTAAACTGCATTTTTTTTAATTCTTATATTTACTAACAATCACGCCACGTTAACTGGTCCCGTGATAAGTTCGTAAAGAACTTGTGTTACAGGTACCAGATATCGGAAATAAATGTAAGATGTTTATTATACACATACATATATTTAATATACATCCATAACCCTGGAAAAGACATTTATATTTTTCATACAAATATCTTCCCTTGGCGGGATTCGAACCCGCGACCCCGTTGTGTAGTGACCATGTCACTTACCACTACACCAGACGGACGCATTAGAATGCTTTACGATTATATTTTTTACTAAAAACGGAATGAGTGTACTTACGTAACCGGGACCGGGTTACTATGAAATTTGTGCTGTCTCCGTACTCCAACGACGAACTAGCCAATTATTCTTTAATTCATTGGCTTAGGCACACGAGCATGTCATGTATATTTGCAATACAAACACATCTATATTTTCTATAAAGCAACCACTGGTCTAAATTTAATAAAATAGTTTAAAATTACAATTTTATGAATCGAGCGGTAATGGGTGCCGATTTTAAGGGGTCGTTATTAGGTGCGTTTACGTTATATGTTTTTTTAATTTGAATTACACTAGTACCATTCGTATCCATATTCAGTCAGCCATGTTCTTATGTAGTCTTTATACGAGACCAGCCTGGAAGAATTACTGGAAGTTAAATTACTTCGTGGTAAGGGGCTAGTTTACATTTAAACGGATTCTTTAGTAGTGATTGGCAAACGAGCTTACGGCCCACCTGATGATAAGTAGTTACCGTCGCCCATGGACCACAGCAATGCCAGGGGCAGAGCCAAGTCGCCGTCTATCATACATCTGTCTGCTTTAAAGCATCAGTCGATAACGGTTGTTTTACTTTATTATCATTGAAACTTCCATCCTTTGTCTCAACGCTAAAGGCAGCATTCACATCATAATGGATTCCAGTTAATACACAACGCTAAGTTGATCGTGAATTGATATCACCTGCGTCAGCTTTGTGTTTTTAAATTGCACTACACCATCTCTTCGGTGAATGTTTTAAAAGGCTACTGAGGGAGTAACTGGAGAATAAGCAGCAGCGTAACTTGAACATTATACCACCATATTGCGATGGCGGACATTTACTTATTGTAGAACATATCGTAATATTCGGCTAGTGGACCTTTGTGGGCTGAAAGAGAGAGAGGGATAGCGAGACACAGGTAAATACCACCATCCTATTTCTTGAATCCTGCGTTTGCGTTATTTCCAACCAATTTTAAGTAGAAAAAGAGAAGGCTCTCAATTCGTTCGTCATATAAGTAGATTAGTACTAAATTCTTTTTTTTTTTAATTTTGCTGACACCACAATTTTTACTATCGCGTCGCCACGTGGGAATATATTTGTATTACCTATGTATTTGTATATATTGTATTACGTATGTATACGCTCTAAATGTGCTTACGTATTGTTGCTTCTTGGCTAGTCCCAGTTTATTGATGAACACAACGACGTCATGCTAAAGGAAACTTGAACAAAATAATGAACGATAAAACATTACATATAAAGTCATATTCAGTGACTTCCTTCATTCAGTAATACAAGAGTAATACTAGCCGATACAGGTTTATTTACTAATTTACGCTCTTCAAACAGTGTAATACTTTAACAGTACGAATACATAAAGCCGTTGAGGTGTTCAAAATGGCCGCTTGTTTATATTGTTTCTTTCTAATGATCGTTTTATACATTAACGGAGTGACCGGCAGCTGGTTTGCGAACGACGCTTCTGTTAATATCGATGAAGACGTACAAGATATTCAAAGTGAAACAATAGCAAGGAAGAAGTTCGACTTCATATTTCCTGGTAAGGTTTTTTTACTAGATGATTGTATTTAATTTCTGCGTATCAACTACAGACTAACTGTTTGTCTATTTAATACTTAGTTCTAGCGAAAAAGTATCAGTAATTTAAAAATATAGTCTTTATTATTTTCAGGTACAAAATGGTGCGGTAAAGGGGACATAGCGAAGAACTACGAGGACCTGGGCTCAGCGCGCGAGACTGACATGTGCTGTCGGGAGCACGACCACTGCACTGACCTCATACTCGCCGGGGAGACCAAGCACGGCCTCACCAACGACGCCTTCTACACCAGGTACTACACGGACATTTTAAGAAAACGAAATAGACATAATATAGTACTATAAATTCAATAAATTTGTTCTTAAATAAGGCAATAGTTCTTTAAGAAGTATTATCATATAGTTATCATCTTTCTTCCAGGTTGAACTGTAAATGTGACGAGGCATTCCGGCTGTGTCTGAACAAAGCTAACACGAAGACGTCGCGCAGAATCGGCAAGATATACTTCAACGCGCTCGGCACCAAGTGCTACAGACGAGACTACCCTGTCGTAGGCTGCAACACTTACGGAGGGTCAGTACTGAATCTAACTGAAGTACTATCGACAGGATACCGTGTTCAAGGTCGTCCTAAGATAATACTGATCGCATCTCTAAACTATTGCTTAACTGTTACAGATTGTTCAGAAAGAAATGTTTGGAGTACGATTACGACACGAGGAGCGAACAGATCTACCAGTGGTTCGACGTCAGGAACTACGCCAACTGATGACCTGGACACACTGAACACCTTCCCGGATGCAGCCCATAGTATTATAACGTTAATGTGATACCATTGTTCCTATAGTCTGTAATTAATTTAAGAGTTATAGTATTAAGTAAAATACGGGTTATAGATTATTATTTTTTAGTGTGGTTTAATCATAATTACTAATTACACAATTAATATCTAATGTACATTTATAACTGAAGTGACATCAAAATAAATATGTAGAAATAAATTAATTGGTTTAATTCATTTAAAATGTTGATACAGTACTTGTGCTTAAATCGTTGCACATAAAATGGAAACGATTCGACTTTAATATCAAAAGTAAGGATAGTGTAGATTTTATTTCGGTTTTCGCGGGTTGTTTGAATATTGAATAGTGGTTAGCGCCGTATTCAAAAGACGACGAATAACACCGTAGTGTCCGTTAGAATTCGAAGCGTCGCGTCGGAAATAACAAAAATGAAAATAATAGTAAACGCGAGGTTAAACCGTAAAACTAATTTTAATTAGAACTGATATGATTCATAACTTTTACTGATCCGTGTTAATTTTTTCAACGAGCTCTGATATTAAGACATAAAATTAACGAATTTGGAAGCGCGTATTTGTAACGAGACATTTACTGTCTTTGTTGTCGTATAATGAGATTATATAATGAAAATTGTTAGTAGCATCATACCTAATGATAACGGCCCAAAGGTCGCCACGGTGCTCCCTGCTAGATAACGGACGAGGCAATGGCGACCGAGCAAAGGCGGTATAACCTTATACCCAGTAGGTCAACTATCTGGAAGAGGCTACAGCAGCCTGGGGAGTCAAATACGACCCGAAAGGTCTGGTGCAGAAGGCAAGGGGAAACCACTGTACTATCCTCCCAAGAAATCTAGTATGAAATGAACACACAAAGAGATGATATGGCATGCAATCCGGCCACCACCCGGTGCGACGTCGATTCCAGGTCACGTGGTGTGAAGTATGCTACTGGCCACGCGGGCAATATGCTACTGGTGATGGCACTACGCCATTAGAACACCGATCACTTAGAAAGATGATGACACTTGCAACGTGGAATGTCCGTGGCATGATCACAGTCTTGAAGAAAGAATTAATCGACAAAGAACAGCTGGCCTATAAACTGGATATGTTAGGCCTAAGCGAGACTCACATGAGAGGTAAAGGGTTCTACAAAACGAGCAGAGGGCATACTATATACTTTTCTGGCCCTGATAACGAGAGTAGGAGAGGTATGGGGATATCTGTTACACCCAAAATCGAGAAATGTGTTCTGGGATATAATCCTGTCAGCGACCGTATAATTACTCTGAAACTCAACACTAAGCCATGGCGCATGAACATTGTGCAGGTGTACGCGCCTACGAGTACAGGCTCGAATGATGCCGACATTGAAGCATTCTATAATCAGCTAGATGACATTTACAACTCGTTACCTAAGAGAGAAGTGAACATCCTAATAGGTGATCTTAATGCTAAAGTTGGAAGTACAGAGTACGATACCCATCTAGGAGATGTTGTGGGACAATTCGGGCTAGGTGAGCGAAATGAGTGAGGAGAGAGATGGTTACAGTTTTGCGCAGCTAACTCGTTGTCTATAATGAACACCTGATTCCAACAACATCCTCGACGACTTTATACGTGGATATCGCCTGGAGGTCACACCAGAAACCAAATCGACTACATTGCAGTTTCGAAAAGGTGGAAGTCAAGCGTAACAAATACAAAGACATACCCAGGTGCTGATAGTGATCATTCGTTGCTGGTTGCAAAAATGGTTATAAAGCTTAAGAGGTGTTACCGGCTTCTTGATAAGCAGAAACACGTACTCACACCTGGAGAACAGATGAATTGCAAAACACGACTCCTAAAAAAATTGACAACGGGTGTGCGGATGGATGACGGCCCTGATGCGAATGAGAGTTGGAGAAACTTTAAGGAATTGCTGCTTAATGTCCATAAAGAAAGCCAAGTTAAAATATGTGAGCAACCCGCACTTCGTGATTATCAGATGAGACATGGGACCTTATAAACAAAAAGAAAGATCTACTGAAAAACCTCTCAAAAGCTGATAGTCATGAACAGTATAAAGCTCTCTCAAAAGAAGTACAGCGTCGTTCTAGGATGGATAAAAATCAGTATTTCAATAACATCTGTTCTGAAATTGAGAAGCATGCCTAAAAGATGCATACTCGAGATCTTTTTATGGAAATCAGAGCTATAACGTGGGATTTCTAGGCAAAAACATGGGCTGTGGAAGACGCAAATGGAGCCTTGCTGACAGAGGTTGATGAGGTAGTAGACAGGTGGAGAGCTTATTGCGAAGACTTGTACGCAGATTCCACAGCAACAGCCATAAACATACGACACAGCATGAGCGATGTTCCTCAAGAACCCGAAATCTTAAAATCCGAAATCGTACTTGCGATTAAAAAGCTCAAAAGTAATAAATCTGCCGGAAGTGACTGTATTTTTGCCGAGGACCTGAAGCTTATCGGAGATAAGGGATATGCATCATACAAAACTTATGCAATCAAATATGGAGTAGCGGCGAATGGATCAGTGAATGGCAAGAATCCATTCTAATACCTCTGCATAAGAAGGGTTCATCCAAGTCCTGCAGCAACTACAGGACTGTAGCACTCATATCCCATGCAAGCAAGATCCTACTGTACGTGATAAACGAGCGCCTTAAAGCATTCTTGCAGTAGAGCAAGCGGGTTTTATTAAGGGACGAGGCACAAGGGAACAAATCCTGAATGTTAGGCAGATTATTGAGAAATGCCGGGAGTTCAACATTCCGATGCTGATGTGCTTCGTTGACTATTTAAAGGCATTCGAGTGTGTTAATAGGGAATGCCTATGGAATATCCTATCAGAAATGGGGTACTACAGCACCTCATCGTACTCATCGCAAACCTTTACCAGGACGGAAGCACAGTAGTGAAGGTGAACAACGTTCTGTCAAGGCCCTTTAAGCCTCAAAAAGGTGTTAGGCAAAGATGTATATTATCTTCGATTCTCTTCAACATTTACATTATGAGACGAGCCTTAGATGGCTGGGAGGGTGGAGTATCCCTTGGCGGCAGGAAAATCAGCAACCTCCGTTATGCAGATGACACCACACTGTTCGCATCATCCGAGCAAGAACTAGCCCAACTCTTTACTAGGGTGGCGGAGGAGAGTGAATTAGTTGGCCTAACCATTAATAAGACGAAGACCAAGGTATTGATGGTGGACAGACCTGGTATGCTTATTCGCTCTAATGAACTGCATGACTTGGAATTTGTTGACCAGTTCGTTTATCTTGGCTCTCTTCTTTGTGGCGAGGGTGGCAGCGAAAAAGAGATAGCTAGAAGAACCCAAATGTCGAAAGGAGCTATGAGTAAGCTCACTAGGATATGGAAAGACCGAATATATCCCGCAAAACCAAAGTGAGGCTACATTGGTCTTCTCAATTTTTCTTTATGGCGCCTAATCCTGGACGATAAGACGAAGTGAGAGAGCAAAGATCGACGCTTTTGAAATGTGGTGTTGGAGACGGATGTTGAAAATTCCATGGACAGCACGCCGGACCAACCTATCCATCTTGAAGGAGCTCGGTATTGCCACAAGGCTGTCCGCTAACTGCTTCCAACGTATTCTCGCGTACTTCTGCCACATCGCTCGTAGAGGCCCCGATAACTTGGAGAAGCTGATGGTAGTTGGTCAGGTTGACGCCAGAAGATCACGCGGACGCTCACCTATCCGCTGGTCTGATCTGGTTAAGACGCTCACCGGCCTGCTAATAACCGAGGCTATAAAGACCGCTGAGGACACGAAGACGTGGGGAAGCATTGTGCATCGAGTGGTCCACATTTAAGATTAGACACGACCTTTAGTAATGAAGAGACCGGCTCAGAAAAAGAAGAAGAAGAAGAAGAAGAAGCCGAAAACATTACCACGGTCCAATAAAAGCTACGAATTATACCTTATAATTAAAACTAATTTTACTATTTAATCTCGCCTTTAATATTTTGCAATTTCTTATTCCTCGTCCTTTGAATACGGCGCTAACCACTGTCCATCTACTTATATATCTATATCTATATTTATCTACGGTGTTGAAGTCTACGGACGAAGGTAACCACTCACCATCAGGCGGGCGGCCATATTCTCGTCTGTCTTGTAGGCAATAAAAAAAAATCCAATAAACATTATCCTTATTTTTGAGATTAAAGTCGAGTCGTTTCCATAATATGAGTATGTGCACCGATTTAAGCACAAGTGCTGTCATAAAAATTAAAAATAAATCAAATTTATTAAATAAAATGAAATTCATTTAAATTATATTACTTTAAAATAAATTAAAAAACTTATTTTATACCCTTTATTTTGATGGAGTATCACTTAAATTATAAATTTACATTAAAGGTAATTGTGATTGATCCACATTTACACAACATTTATGTATAATACTCGTACCCGTCTTTTACGTACTACTACAACTCTTAAATAAATTACAGACTATAGGAACAATGGTATCACATTAATATTATAATAACTATGGGCTGCATCCGGGAAGGTGTTCAGTGTGTCCAGATCATCAGTTGGCGTAGTTCCTGACGTCGAACCACTGGTAGATCTGTTCGCTCCTCGTATCGTAATCGTACTCCAAACATTTCTTTTTGAACAATCTGTAACAGTTATGCAATAGCTTAGAGATGCGATCAGTATTATCTTAGGACGTCTTTGAACCAGGTATCCTGTCGATAGTACTTCAGTTAGATTCAGTACTGACCCTCCGTAAGTGTTGCAGCCTACGACAGGGTAGTCTCGTCTGTAGCACTTGGTGCCGAGCGCGTTGAAGTATATCTTGCCGATTCTGCGCGACGTCTTCGTGTTAGCTTTGTTCAGACACAGCCGGAATGCCTCGTCACATTTACAGTTCAACCTGGAAGAAAGATGATAACTATATTATGATACTTCTAAAAGAACTACTGCCTTATTTAAGAATAAATCTTATTGAATATAAAGTACAGTATTGTTTATTTATTTTTCTTAAAATGTCCATGTAGTACCTGGTGTAGAAGGCGTCGTTGGTGAGGCCGTGCTTGGTCTCCCCGGCGAGTATGAGGTCAGTGCAGTGGTCGTGCTCCCGACAGCACATGTCAGTCTCGCGCGCTGAGCCCAGGTCCTCGTAGTTCTTCGCTATGTCCCCTTTACCGCACCATTTTGTACCTGATAATAATAGACTATATTTTTAATTTATTGATACTTTTTCGCTGGAACTAAGTATTGATTAGACATATAGTTAGTCTGTAGTTGATATCAGAAATGAATTATGATAAACTATTAAAAAAACACTTACCAGGAAAGATGAAGTCGAACTTCTTCCTTGCTATTGTTTCACTTTGAATATCTAGTACGTCTTCATCGATATTAACAGCAGAGTCGTTCGCGAACCAGCTGCCGGTCACTCCGTTAATGTACAACGCGATCATTACAATGAAACAACAAAAACAAGCGGCCATTTTGGACATTACAACAACTTTTTTCTATAGAAAATAAGCACTTATATAACTATTTCATAAATTGGTGCTGCTCGTATTGAAGTCTTTTTAATACTGAACGATTAATTATTTAATATTTGCCTTTATATATTATTTAACTGTTTCTTCACAGTTTCCTGTATTGTGACGTGATTTCAATAAATCGGGACAACGCGCCAAGGGAAACATTGACCTACATCGCTATTATTTACAACAATAATACGTCATTTACTTTTACAAAATCACAGACGTAAGAAGACTACGCGTTGTTAAATTTTGTTTATTGCATTCTTACGTAAATTAGGTTTCCCTTGGGAAACGTACGAAAAATAATTTGATTTAAATGAGAAATAAACTACAAACATATAGCTTATGAGTTAACGTAAACGCACCCATTACCACCAGATTAAGCTAGGTTCAGATTGATAGGCAAAAAATAAGCAGTTGTTCAATCACTGGCTTTATCTTTTTTTTGACGATTCCGAAGATAACTCTTTTTTAATGCAATAAAGGGACAACTAGCAAAAATAGACTTAAAAAAATAAAAATTGATGGGAAGAGCCATGTCCCTATTACCGATCCAATGCATGGGGTGTGTTCCTATTAGCGTTTTTTTGACACCTATTACCGACCGCTAAAGCAACAGAATTAGTCATGTTAAATAAAAATTATTGTGTCAGTTTAATTATTGATATGAAGCAACAGTACTTTAATTATTAAGTCACAATTCTCTTAATAATTTCTTAAAAGTAATCTAAACGTAATTAATACTGATGACAATTTTTGGGCATGCGCTTGTAGGTGGTAAAAAACCACAGGAGGTGCGATTTCATAAGTCAGCAGAAACCATACATTCAGTTAAACATTCTCTTTCATCATTGAAGACTCGAGTCTCCAATACGATTCGAGTCTCAATACCTCTGTGGTGCTTCATTCTACGATGACTCATTTTGTCTTGGGACACAAAAATAATTCAGTTTCGTCGTAATTAAAACTTCTAGCAGAATTGTTAATTTTATTCAAAATATTGATACACATCAGTAAACCATGACCTTATGTTTCTTCTTTCACTTCATTTCTATATGTTGGCAAATTGTGGACAAGTCTTTTTTGAAATTATGGGATGGGTTTGATCAAATTTTGAAGCCAGTGTCTTCCTGTTACTCCGTCTTTAAATGGGTGTGGGAGATTTAATGTTTTCACTAATTTTGACACCGTCTCCAATAACTGCCTTTTTTACAGGAAAATATAATCTTCCCAAATAGTGAATTCAGTCAGTCTATTAATTGGCGTTCTTCATCCTTAATGAAAACTCCACAATTTTCTTCAGTATACTTGTGATCTTTCTTGTTCCGAAGAGTTCTTCTAGGAATCTGAAATCTCTTGTTGTTTGTGGAATGCTCTCCCGGTACGTATACGACATGCTGAAACATTAAATTCGTTCAAACGCCTCATTAAGGAACATTTTTTAAATATTAGTCAACCGATTTAATATGTGATAGGGTAGTATCTGAAATTGGTATCTACTTAAATTGTATATGTTTCAAAGGTATTTTAAGTATCTTTCATATGTAAATTGCTTATTCTTGTTTATGTGTAGAGAAGCAAAATTTAATTTTTATTTAATTTTTATTATTTTTTATTTTTAATAATTATTATTATATTATAATACTTTGTATTAATTGTATGTATATTTACGGAGATATGTATGTGTATATGTATGTGTACATATATGTATATGTATTTCACTGGATTGGTACACCGCGCGTAGTTTGTTTCCAAATAATTCTTGTCCACCTGATGGTTGTCTGGAAGAGATCGCTCTTAGCGATAAGACCGCCAATTGTACTTTTTTTGTTTTTAGTGTATCGCACTGTTTATTTGTTTTTTTGGTGTACAATAAAGAATACTCTCTCTCTCTCTCTCTTCGAGGTTTCATATACATTTATTTGCTTCATTATTAATGGCCATCAATCAAGTTGACTAGATATAGGTATATTGTTGACGTCTTGGTGGTTCCATGTTTCTGAAACAAATTTATCTATCGAGTCGAATATGTGCAATAAGTAAATAATATTTTTAAATACACTCAAGTGGAAGTCAATAGGTGATTTTTAATATAGTTTAGTTTTTTATTCAATAATGAATTGCTGTTTTATTTTATTTTTTGCTATATATTTTAAATTTTTATTAGGCGATAATGTAATCTTAGTTACATTATATTTACGCAGTACTAAAAATAAATAAAATATGTTAACACACTATTAACTTACACAGTTAGGCATACAGACGAAAGGACTATAACTTTAAAGAAAAAACTATATATTGTGTTCCTTTTTGACTACAGGACATTTAAAGCTGCAAAAGTACAGGTAGATCGGTATTAGGTTATATTAAAGGACAAAGTAAAACATTACCGACAAATAAAAATGTTTTTTTTTTATTGCCCTTGTAGGCAGACGAGCATACGGCCCACCTGATGGTGAGTGGTTACCGTCGCCCATGGACTTCAGCAATGCCAGGGGCAGAGCCAAGCCGCTGCCTACCGTTTAATACTCTCCACAAGCCTCGTTTGAAGAAGGACATGTCATAGCGCTCGGGAAACACCGTGGAGGGGAGCTCATTCCATA